AGTCTGAGTTTCGATCCTTTTCCAGAGGATGGTCTTGTGTTGGATTGGGAGTGGACAGGCAGGCTGATTGGTCCTGTAAGGAGTCACCGGATAGGAGACAGTTCCAGAACAGCGAGGAGATGAAGGAAATGGACCTAATCCTGGTGAGCATCCTATCCGGTTCTGTGGAGGAACGAGAGCAAGGAGAGATTAGAGGAGACTCTGGGAGCTTAGTTCACTAACAGAGCATGACCATTGGAACCTTTATTTCTGAGCCACAAACAGAAAGCAGCACTGTGTTTATTTAAAGCCTTAGTGTGGGAGCTTCTCATCAAACTATTTGGTTCATCTGCAACATTTAGAGAAGAAAGCTGTATATAATTTCACATGTGTTGAAACAAAGATCAAATTTCTGGTGCACAAAAGTAATGCATTAGGGGGGAGTGTCTGAAAGGAGATTTCATTCCCCTTTCCACTGAGGTGTGCCTGATAATTTTTTTTGTTTCTATAATCAATGTAAATGAAAGTATTGTTTGTAGTTGGATAAAGTTCAGAAATTCAAACTTTTAAAACATTTCTCTTCATGGTGTAACATAAATAGCAGGTTATGATAGGAGTGAACTATGAAGAAGAATGGAGCACACAGCCAGCTGTCCAATAGAAAATAACAAGATCTGTTTTTATTTTTATGGGTTCAAAAAACAAGATGAGATAATAAACAAGTGCAAGTTTTTTATTCTAAGAACAGATAAAGAATTATATATTAGAATACATCTGACTTTAGCCTAAATGTTTTTATCACCTGTTTTTGATGTAATCAACCAAAAGGCCATATGTTTTATTTGGTGTTTACAAACTGTATATATTTCATCAACTTTATTTATAACGTACCTACTTTTTTTACCTGAATTTTAAACCTTTTCTAGAATGAATACCAAATGTTTCTGTCACACACATTTAATCTTAGGTTTAAAAACAACCTGACAAGTTGACAGGTTGTGAGATTTTTATCATTTTTATTTGTTTAATATAAGCAACATGAGGATATGTTTTTTTTTTTTTTTTTTTTACAAAACATGGAGAACTACTGAATTGATTTCTAGATTACACATAAGTAGATTAATTAATTCCACAGGGAAAAAGGAATTATGTTGGAGTTAAGAATCAACTGGATATATCAACCTATTGAGCCTATATCACAACACTGATTATTTATTTAAAACCTTATTTCAAAGGTAAATTATTCAGTCAAATATTGGAATTGGAATCCTCTGTGTATTAAAAGCATAAACAAAGTTAACTTTCTTCTCTCACTCTGAAACAGAAGAAGTAAAAAGTAGCAAATGCAGAGAAACTGATTTTAGTTTTACTCTGAGAGGGACTGACTGGATCTCCTTGTTGTTTTCCATCTGCTCTTTCAGTTTTCAGTTTCGATGCATTTGTTGCTGGCTGGATTATTGTAATTCTTTACTACCAGGAAGTCCACAAACTGTAGTTAAAAGTTGAAAATGCAAAAGAGAGATCATATCTCTCCTATCCTGGCTTCTCTTTATTGGCTTCTTGTTACAGCAAGAATAGAATTTAAAATCCTCCCTCTCCGATATAAAGCCTAAAATGGCCAAGCTTGGGGGTGCTTTGGTGGCGCAGTGGTTAGCGCACATGACCCATGTATGGAGGCCTTGGTCCTCAACGTGGGTGACCCAGTTCAAATCCAGCCTGTGGTCCTTTCCAACCAGTCACTGGTGCCACAAACCCCCAATGGTTTACTAGTGGTTCCTAGAATTTCTAAAAGTAGAATGGGAGGCAGATCTTTTAGTTATCAAGCTCCTCTCCTGTGGAACCAACTACCCGTTTTAGCATGTGAGGCAGACAACAGTTTAAATTCTCAGTCATCCGGGTCTTGGCGACCAATCAGATGGAGGAAATATATAAAGCTGCTCTGGAGAAAATGGAGAGAGATTTGCAGGAAGAATGAAATCAGTGGGAGCAGGAAAGATGCTGTCTGCTGATCAATAACCAAGAGTTGGGGAGAGGAGAAATATGGCACAGAGTAGTCACCTCAAGCTTCCATCAAAAGGGCTGAACAGCTGAAAGTAAACAAAGACAAGGAGCAAAAGAGGCTGAGGTGATCTTGTCCAAGCAAGACCAGGAAACCTGTGAAAAAAAGGCTTCTTTGGTCAAACTGCAGCAAGACGTGGAGAACCAAAGACTCCTCTGGAGCAAAGAGAAAGCCAGTCTGCTGACAGAGCAGCAGAAACCTGTCAGAAACAAGCCCACACAGAATCTGGAAGACATGAAGGAGGAGAGGAAAACATCAACAGAGAGTCTGATGGAAAAACTGGAGGATCTGCAGCATCAGACGGAGAAAGAGAAACAGAGAAAAGCCAGAAAGAAAAGCCTCAGGAAAAAGATGATCCAGCTGTTTAAACGCTGTAAAAAGGCTCCACCTCAGTCAGAAAACTGAGCTCTACTAAACCTCATGGAAGCCTCCCCAACAAAACCATCAGACTGATGCATTTGTTACAGAAATGCGTCTTGGCAGAGTTAAGTTTGGTGCATTTACATCTATTAGATTTTATTTAAAAACTAATATTTATTTTTCTGCCTTAAAATGTAAAATGATCCGTATAATGGAATCGTCTGTAAAAGGAATAGAATGTAATGTGTCAGAGAGATTCCTGTTTTTGTTCCATTGTTCTGGAAACTTCTTCTTTAAGAAGTTTTTTAACAAATGTATCTTTTAATTCTGACTTTTTGACCAAAACTACACTCTGACCATGTGGCAACTGAATGTTTCTCATGTAAATCCTCGTCTTCTCCAGGAATGAGGTCCAAACCATCATCCTTTAGAACCCAGAGGTCCAATCAGAGCTCTACAGCTGGTTCTGAGGCTGATCTCACTGCTCCACAGCTTCTAGTTAGGTTGGATCTTCTGCTCTGGATTCTCTCCACCAGCAGATCGTCAGACCAGAACATGTTCACCTTCAGAACCAGAAAGAACTGATTCTAAAAAGATTCTGCTTCACAATCAGAAGCAGAACTTGGTTCTTAGTTCATCTCTACATCTTTGGATTCAGATGTTACAAATGATCCAAATTTAAACATCAGAAATTTTGCTTTTAACAAATAGTGTCTTTAAAGAACAAAAGTATTTAGATTGCATCCAGTATATAGAGTTTGAATGCAGGTGGAGGAGGTTCTGGTCTCGGCCTACGAAGGTCCAACACTGTCAGCAGTTCTGGTTCTGATTCACTTGGATTTTTTCTGTTAAGTCATGAAATACATAAAATATCTGCAAATAGGTCAATTTATGATCTATTAAAACATTTATCTTCACTTGCTTGGGAAACAACAAAAATATATTTTGAAAAATTTTAAAAACAAGGAAATACATTTTTATATGAAATTATAATATTTGGTTTTTAGTTTTTATAACACTTAAAACATGTTAAATTACTAATAATATGCAGAACTTATCCTAATATTTTTTCCATCTTTTATTCTATTTGCATCAACAGCAACATTCAAGAATTAAGGAAATAATCATCATAATGACACCATGCAGCTTGTTTTTCATGTTTTTATTAAATTTTTATTTTTGGTTTCCAAAAATATCTGAGTGAGGTGTGGCAGAGCAGCATAAATACACATGAAGAACCAGAACCAACAGGTTCTATTCAGAACGCTACACCGACCCAAACAAACGTCACATGATCCAAAGAGCTGCAGCAGTGACAATGTTTAAAGTTCCTGTAGAACCGCTGCAGAGCAACAACAGAACTCCACTTGAACAGATTTACACTGAGTTCATCAAACACCTCAGAACCTGATAGACAGGAAGAAGCATCCAGAACCACTGGGTCAGGGTTCCAGCCCAACACTCTGCTGAGTCTGAACCCAGCAGATTGGAGCGCCTACCTCCTGTTCCTAGCTCCTGTTCCTTCATCTTGAATGGTCAGGACACTACTGAGGATAGAAAAGGAAGGAAAAGGAAAAGGAAACCAAAGTTACCCCAAGGGGTTCTGATCAGGTCGAACTGAAACAAAGAGAGGGTTAGCTCATGATGTAGCAGTTAGCTTCGGCAAACTGGACTCGTTCGGTCTATGTAGTGAGCATTAGCATTTAGTAAAACCTTTAAAACCATCAGCAGTTGAATCAGAAACCTTATTTCAAATAAAAACAACAACACGACTATCTATTCTATCGAATTCACCCAAGCAGAGCACTTATTAAGCATCAGATGGAAAGGAGGGGGGAGGATACGGTTACTGTTTTGGTTCAGTGGAGTGAAGGCCTTCAGCTCGGTCCAGTTTTCTGAAGACCCATCTTTGATCCAGTCTGTTCATCCAACAGCAGCTCAAAGAGATTTGGCAAGGGGGTTAATTTTATAACTCATGGAAACACGGGACATCTCCCGTTTTATTTACAGTGGTTAGCTTGTAGCCACAGCCTGTAGCAGCTCCTCTGTGCTACTCCATCTCAGGCAGTCACGGTCTGGCGGCTTCTAATGACTCCTTCTGCGAACAGCGATTGGGGCCACGTTTTTAAGAGGTTAGCAGAGCTGCATTAGCTAACCTTTGTCTTTGCTGCGGCAAGATACACTGTGTTCAACTCTGTTTGAATCACAGGAAGAATACAAACACTGCGTTCAGCTACTTCTGAATTGAAGTAAAAAGGCAGTTTGACTCTGTCAAGCAAGCACACACTTCTCCAGAGGGACTTGGTTGCTACTTAGTGTAGCCTTCAGCTGGAAGCGCTTTTGTCTAGCCTTTTAATGGCACAGAGCCAACGGCAAAATGGAAGCTAGCTTTTTTTAAAACCTACGGCGGAGGGGTGTGTCTTCAGAGGGGCTTAGTTCTGGTTACATCAGCGACAATGGATTACAACAATTTAAAATCACGTTTCCAATAAAATGCAGAGACTTTAAGGAGACAAAGAGAGATTAAAAACACTTCTGAACAAAGAGATAATTTACAGAATCCTGATTTATTTAGTCAAATATTGGTATTTGATACAGAATTAAAGTACTTCATTACAAAAACATTTCATCGCTAACTCATACAAAAAACTGGTCATAAAATAGATTAAAAAGAATTGAAGGTCCAACTATGAGTTTTGTTATAATGAATTTTACATTTATTGTTATTTTTTATTCAAAATAAAATTCAGAAAACTGGCAGAAAATGCTGTGATATTCTCCAATATTTCTATCATCTACAGTTCAGCCACAGGTTGTCTGGAATAATTCTTCTTTTAGGAACAGTCTCATCAGAAATCCTATTGGAAACTCATCTGGCTTATTAAAACATAGCAGATAACTCTGAGGAACTGACGAACTAGCAGGAGAGTTCAAACTGCAGCTTCACTCACGTCATAATTTTTTATTACTAATCAGTTGCAGAAACCCTGAACTTCACAGCCTACAAATCCTGAGGCGTCAGCCTGTTTATCTGGGTCTAATGAACAAAACTGTTCAGATCAGAGGAATAAAAACTACATAAGAGACACAAACAAGAAACAGGACAAAAAAGACTGGAGATAAAAAAATTTAAACTTCTTCTGATGGTGAGATTAAAACCCAGGATCAAACATTTACTGGATCTACCGGAAACAGAATCAAACCTTTGGATGGAACAATTCCAGCTTGCATCTTTAAAGGACTGGAAGAGGAAAAAGTTTACCAGGAATCTTTTCCAGAAGTTTTAGAAAGAAACCGACTGAAAATGAAAATGTTTCTGAGAGAAAGAGACAGACATGTAGAGACCGAACTGTTCAACAGTGAGAGGGTTTCTTTGACAAGTGGAGCCTCTTTAGACTTAACACAAAAACACTGAGGAATCAGAACCAACCCAGAATCCCGGGTAAAGTGGTTCAGTGAATGTGGTGTTGTAGGTGTAGAGGTGGATCAGTGAGTCAGAGGAGACTCTGTAGAAGGACAGAATGCCAGCAGGATGGTCCACATACACTGCTACTTTGTTAGAGACAGAGGAGGAGGAGGAGAAGGCGGAGGAGATGTCTGTTCTCTTCTTATTGTGACAGACAGAGTAACCATCATAGCATTCCAGACTCCAGGAATGATCATTATAACCAAACAAACAGTCATTACTGCCTCCTTTCCTACTTATTCTTCTGTAACTCACTGATGTAAAAACTGTTCCTTTCCACTCGACCTCCCAGTAACAGCGACCAGTAAGACCATCACTACACAGCAGCTGATACCAGCCATCAGATCTGTCTGGATGATCGGGATATGACTGAAGCTCCTCCACACGTGTCACCTTCCTGTTGTCTTCAGACAGTTTCAGTTTTCTGTTCACTGTGTTTGTGTCGATCGTGAGCTGACAGGAATCTGATGGAGAGAACAAACACAATCCAGCTGCAGTTATTGATCATCTATTGATGCTTTGACGATGACTCCTGAATGAGTGATGGGCAGTTTGAAGATAGTTTAATGTGAGCTGCTTTCTTTTTATGAATCCAATGAAAATTACACTTACACTTCCCCAGTCCTGGTTTCAACCATCGGACTCCATCCTGAAAGGAGGAGGGGGGTCAGACCATTAGTATCTTTCAGCAGGAAAACATGGACATTGTAATAGATCAGATAAGATTCCACTCTGATATGCTGCTGGAAGAACTGGATCTGGGTCATTTGGACTCTGTGACCTGCTGCATACGTTGTTTGGTCCATTGTGGGAGAAACCAAACTGATAGAGCAGAATCAAAGCAGACAACATGATGCAACCTGTACTGTCTGTCAGCTGCTAATAATGAACTGTGCTGTATAAAGCTAGCTGATGACTGAGGAACCTTGGCTCATGTCTGTCAGCCAAGCTGCAGTCAGCCAGGCCTCTGGACCCAATTCTCTTAAGTTCCTACTTTGGACTTTAAAGAGTCCAAATCTACCAAGCTGGATCTTCCTGTCTCAGTACTGAAGGTTCTGCCACAGCAGACATTACATGGTTCTGTTCTTCTTCATTCAGAATCCAATTGTCCAACATTTGAACCCGTTCATTTGAATGAAGTGTCTCTAATGTCCTGTAGTTGTCAGGTTTCAGCCCAGTTTGAACTCATTCTTTTCATGTTGTCTTTTTAATCAGGCAGGAGGTGTCATAAACGGGACAGATGGACCCAGTATTCAAGGTGAGACAGTCAGTAGGAAAGTTCAGAAAGTTTATTGAAACAAAAACATAAACAAACTGAAACTAAGGGGGAGCTGTTGGATCTGTGTCTCTCGGCGACTGCAGGTGGGGGTCTCAGACGCTCTTTATGGGAGAAACACAGGTAAGTGACCACGATCATCTGACAGAAGATGATTATCAGAGTTGGTCACTTACCTGGTTTAACAGTCCAGTCCATCTCCCTAGAGCGGGGCGCAATCCAGCCGCTGGACTGTCCCCGACGCTGCAGTCCCGGAGGACCCGAAAGAAGCCGATGCTGGACAGGGTTTTAGATCAGGCAGGAACAGAAACGAGACAGGATACAGATCAGACAGGAACAGATGGATGAAAGGATTCAGGTTTCCAGGGTATCCACAAGCTCCCAGGCAGGTTCAGAGTCTGACAGCGTCCAGAAACGTTACCAGGCGGACACACACAGGAGCAGACAGGATCAGGTGCAGACGGGCAGGCTCAGTGGTAGAGGGTAGCAGAGACAGGACGTGGAACCAGAACTTGGTGCAGGACCTTTAAACTGGTCTCCTCCTTGGAGCCAGGCTTACTGGGATAAAAACTCAACCTCCCACCGTAAAGAGCCAAAAACCCAGAGGACTCAGCAGGGGAGGAACAGTCGATCAAAACCCGTTTCCACTGGCCGCCAGGATCCAGGACTCGAACCGTGGAAAAACTCAAGACACTCAACAGACAAACTAACAGGAAACAAACATGAAGCTAACAGAAAGCAAACAATGATTTGGCCCCGAAAGCTTAGGCTAGGCTGAACAGAATATAAAGCAAAGGAAACAGGTGTGAGGAATAAATGATAATTAAGGCAGGGAGAGAAATGGCAGGTGAAAGAAATAAACAATTAAGGTGGAGGAATCAGGCCAGATCATGACAGGAGGAGGACACCATCCAGTCTGGTTCTTCATCTCCGGTTAAAAAAAGCTCTCCTATCATCAAGGTTTATTTAATCCAACATCCACACTGAGACTGAAGCTGATTGATGAGATGGGAGACTTAATAACAGATCAAGTAAGTTTTCCAACATCTATCAGCTCTGCTTCCTGGATAAGATGAGCTGCAGCACCTTCATCTGCTCAAAGATCTTCATCAAAGAGTCCTGACCTGTCAGTACTTGAACTATTTAGGTGTTATGATAGTGCTATGAAAGGAGCAGCATGCAGGTGACTGTTCTGATCTTCTCTGAACACCTCATCGAGTGCAGTCAAAGCTCTATCTTTATCTGAGGTGAAATATAGACAGGTGGAATATAGACAGCTGTGTTAGTTACTGATGGAAACGTTCTGACCCAGAAGGACGGTCAGAGCAAGTTACTTGATGGACAGATGCTCCAGATCCACTATATCAGAGTGAGAAAGTCCAGATGTTTACACCATCAAACACACACTCCAATATCTGCTGATTTTCCTGCCTTTGCTGTTCTGTCCACCTAGTCCGGGGGAAAGAATTGGATCGTATCATGGGGAGGTCCAGAACCCCTGGGTTTCTCCATGTCTCAGAATAGCAGAAAAGTTTCAGATCTCTGATGTTCTGCTCGAGCTTCGCTCTTGACACAGATGATCCATTTGATTGCCAGATAGTGGGGAACACGAACCATCATCCACTGGGAACTGGATGATGGTGTGTTTGTTCACTGGTTCTGGTTCTTACTCCATAGGGGTCTCGTGTCTTTCCTTAGTCATGGTCTCCTTCTTTGTTCTTTAAAGTTATGTGTCTCTGGAGGCCATTTGGAGTCTAAAAGCTTTTCAGGAATCGTTGAGTAGATGGTTCTAGAGGCTCCAAAAGAGTCAAAGTTCTGGAAGTAGTTAGAACTAAAGTGTCTGGTTAGAAAAGTAAACTTAAAGAGACATTCCATCAAAGCCCAGTCAGATCTTGGCAACTATGATTCTAAATCAGACAATGAAACAGATGATGAAGTAACTGCTGCCTGTTCAGGTGAGAAACTAACCAATCAGAAGGATTTACCAGAACATCATTAACGTAGCATTTAAAGGAATAGTACACCCAAAACATGATTAGCCTTCATTTTCTACTCACCCCCATGCTGAACAACACTCTGGAGTACTTTTTTGATATCTCAAATGCTGGAGATCTGGGAGGCTTCTTGCTGTCTGCTGACATTCAAATAATGGAGGTCTATGGCGCCAGAGACAGAAAGGTCCATAAAAGTCCACAAAAAACATGTCAATATTCCTCCATACTGCTCGTCCAATGTATTCCAAGTGTCCTGAGTGGGTAGCGTCCATAATTTACTCGAAACGAAGTCATTTAGAATGTTTTTAGAGCATAAACAGTAGTGTATAGGAATTCCTGAAAGCGCGCACACGCGCGCTCACGACGCTACGGAAGCCGGCAGACCAAACCAGATGAAAGTGCGCATTCAGCGTCTGCTCTGTCAATAATGCAAGCGTAGAAGAAGAAATGTGCTGTTTACCTGTGCAAAGAAAGAAACAACGAAAGAAAAATGTCTGAGGACTTCAGTGTTGAGGAAGAGCATGAGTTCTTTGCCGAGCTGAATGCGCACTTTCATCTGGTTTGGTCTGCCGCGGTTTCCGTAGACTCGTGAACGCGCTTTCAGGAAATCCTATACACTACTGTTTATGCTCTAAAAACATTCTAAATGACTTCGTTTCGAGTAAATTCTGGATGCTACCCACTCAGGACACTTGGAATACATTGGACGAGCAGTATGGAGGAATATTGACATGTTTTTTCTGGACTTTTATGGACCTTTCTGCCTCGGGCGCCATAGACCTCCATTATTTGAATGTCAGCAGACAGCAAGAAGCCTCCCAGATCTCCAGATGCATTTGAGATATCAAAAAAGTACTCCAGAGTGTTGATCAGCATGGGGGTGAGTAGAAAATGAAGGCTAATCATGTTTTGGGTGTACTATTCCTTTAAACCATTTGAATCTATGAAACAGAGAATACTGTTCCTCAGTAGAACCCAGAATATCCAGTTTGATGAATCCTCACCTGAATATTTCCAGTGTCCAGTCTGAAGCAGACAGAAACTTCTCCCCTGAATCATGGAGATTGTTATTCTGCAGATCAACCTCCCTCAACCAGCAGGACTTGGACCTTAGAAGTGATGACAGAACTTCACAAGTTCTCCCTGAGAGGTTACAGGATCTAAGTCTAATAGACAAAATGAAACAAGTCAAAGAAGAACAAAAAGATTTTATTTGGACAGAAAATGTTTGTCTTAATACCATAAAAAGTCAGGATTATCAAAGTTTGCTCTGATAAAAACAAGCACATTATATTGGGTCAATATTGCTGTTAAACTATTCTGACCCCTGCAGGACCCTCGTGGTTGGAAATTTACCTTTCATATCCAGCGCTGGTTACTGATATAGGGCCCCTGAGGACCTAGTAAGCCCCTTAGTTTTTAAACACTGACTTCCAACTAACTAGTCTGCCTTCTCCTCAGGTACGTTGCTGCCTTAACTTGGAGAATATTGTGTGTCACATTCCAACACTTCCGCATCCATCCTCTACTCATGCTCACCATTCACGACTGATTTCAGTGACTTTCACACTAAAGCGGGAAACTTGGATTCTAACCTTAGTTTGTGTTGAAGACATTTCTATTTCAGAATTCTTAGACTTGGTGGGTCTCTTTTGTTTTCGCCTCTGAGCTGCATCAAAGCCAGACATTATATGCAAGATAAACCAGGGAATGCTTTACTACTTTCTATGAAGTCTAAAGTTTAGATTAATATCACCTGAAAAAAATTTGAAAAGGCCCAGATGATGATAGGGGATGTCTGTAGGGGCTTATTTTTGGAAGGGCTTAGCCCAAGTAAGGTGTTTTAGTGTATGCAAATTGCATCCTCAGAAATGTTTAAAGGTCCTGAAAAGACAGCTTTTACATGCAAAACTCACCCCCTTTTAAATTTACTTTGGTTATAATAAAAAATATGTTAGTTTTACTGTGTATTATACCTTTAAAACTATGTTGTAGAATAATATTTCAAGACACTTATGTAAACAAAGCTCTCTCACTGTACTAAATTGCCTGTGCTATTTTCTTATTTCTTTATGGGCCAACAGACCAAGATAGGCTGTGATTTTGGATGATAGCCACAAATATGTTATTGGAGCCAAATATGTGTATTTTTTGTTTATTTTTATTTTTATTTATTTTTCTTATTTTTTTTGTTTGTTAGTTTTGTTTGTGACCACTAGATGGGGCTGTCGGCTCTAGTATATAAATGAAGACATGACAGGTAATTGACAGGTGTTGAATCCGGAAGGGCATACAAGTTTTTGACCGCTGTGGCGGAGTCGTTGTTATCCCTGTGGCCGTGCATTGTGGAATAAATGATTTTTCATGCACAAAATGGTTCATCTGGCTGGAACAACTTATGTACTGCAAGAAGATCGTTTGATTCACGTTTTCACGCGATCGACAGGTACGTTAGCCGCTAGGCGCGTCATAACAAGCAGCAACGGATCAACGCAAAATAGTGCAGTGTGAAACAGGCTATCATATATGTATTTTGGAAATAAAATGACAGTATTCAAACCTAAGCAATACAGTACCAGTAAAAAAGTTGGCTTTACGTGTAAACTATAACAAAGAATGGTCTTATATCCCTCTTTTGATCAAATGGAAGAAATATGTGAGATGAGATAACAAATTAGAAGTAACCCTGAACCTGTCTATGCTGGAAGTTATGTGGGGGGATGGGAGTGAGATGACAGAGAGCGGTTGCCTCCTAACTCTAGACAAGGGTGAAATATAGATACATGCTCTTCAAGGTGTTTAAGACTCCCTAATGAGATGAACGACAGAGACAGCTGTTTTGAAATGTTTTCACCTGACTAGTGAAAAATGTATGTCTTTAATGAAGTCAAAGTTGTTTCTCTTGGGAAGACCCAACGTTCGTGTGTGAGAAATGTCTTTATATGCAGGGGTGGGAAACCACCCCCCCAGAGCCACACTAACAGTTCAACTGTGAGTGTGGTTCTTCTCTGCAGAGTAAAATAAAACAATTTCTTGCGCTCAAAAACGGTTAAAAGTGGGAATCATAAAGACTCTTTCAAGAATGATATGTTATCATATCAATTACAAATTAAAAACAGTATGTACACTAGGGGTGTAAATAATAATCGTTTTGTATCGATGCATCGATCCAACAGCCGATGATCCGATGCATCGATACGTCCGCAAGAGAATCGATTCATGTTTTTTTTTTCCTCCGGTCTATTTTTATCCATTTGCTCCTGGACGTAATTCTTCCACCCGTGCTGCGGTGGCGCTAAACCTATTTTGCCCTCCTACCGCGCTTCCTGGTTATACTCTTACAGCAGTGTGTTGCAGTGAGCTTGACACAGACATTTTTGATTTATGCTCAATATTGAATCGTGGTCTGTGCTACACGCTGTGGGTCTAGATACGGTCGAGGCGGCGAGGAAGTGGGGGCGAGTTTAGTCCGACGACGGAGGGACATGAGGACCATAAAGAGCGGAGATTCAGGTGGAAAAAGGGTCCCAGCGTTCTCGTGCACCTCGCTCTTCTAGCGGGTCAAACTTCACGAGTTGTTTTCCGCAATTTCGGTCATAAAAACAAAACAAGCCGGCCTCCTGTCTGCAGCACTGTTTGCTGTCAGCTACAATTTGGGAGAGGAGCAGCGGAGCGTCTGTGGAGGGGGCGGGACGTCTGGAGCTGAGGTATTGCATTGCACTGATTGCACTGATTATGTGCAGGATTTTTTGATGCAACTTTTCTACTTCTGTTATTGGTAGTTGTTTCTAAAAAAAAAAAAAAAAAAAAGCATAACGATATTACAGCTTTCATTGATTTATTTCAAACTTTAAACTTTGTTTAGCCTGTAAGGTGTAAAAAAAAAAGAGAAAAAAACGTAACCGATTAATCGATTAATCGAATCGAATCGTGGTGTATTCTTGAGTATTGAAAATAATCAAATCGTTGGGTCAGGAAATCGATACTGAATCGAATCACCATGATGGATGTGATTTACACCCCTAATGTACATTATGATACCTCCAGGTTTTTGTTTAGGTTAATTTAGGCATTTTGTTCAGGTGAAGTCGGCATCTTGAAATCAAATAAGTTATACCAGGGCATATGGGAACTATTTCAAGTGCATTGTGACAGCCAAGGGTTTTGCTCAAAGAGTAAATGTTTCATACATTTCTAACATTTCACACATGCTGTTTTCACCAAATGGGCAACATTTCATTTATTTTCTGTAAATCCAAGGCTATGGTTTTAATTGTACAGCTATTATGACTAATTCAACTGACAATAGAGAAAGATCATTGTTTGGTGATTCACTAGCCCAGGTTTTAGCAACCTTCAGTACTCGAAGATCCACTTGGACCAACTTTCCAGTGAAAAAAAACAGAGGAAATAGTCAATTCTATCTGACATCTGAAATAATGATAATGCTGTTTTACTTGTGAAATTCATTAAGTGCAGAGAAAACAGCATTTTGCCTAGCAGCAAGACGGAAGGAACAACATGGACATTCAACAGATTCCAGAGACTCTTGAAAATAAGGCAGGTTGGGGAAATAGGCTGTTAAAAAATAAGCTGTTACAAAGAGTATTTACAACCTGCTACAGCAAGCTGCTGCTGATCAAACTGTGCTGTGTAGTAACTTCTAAATATTTATTACTTTATTTACTTTAGATTCTCATGACAGTTTTATTGTCTCAAACTGATAAAGTTATTTTACTGCTGTATTTATCCACACAGGAATAAGTTGAATAAGTTGACTGAATTTCAGTCTAATCTGCATTCTGATCATATTAGTAGCCTTCTTATACTGGTTTTACTAATAAAACCAGTATGGCCCTGTATGTCTAGCCTATTTTTGTCAATTAAGGGGTTAAAACAGAGGCTTGTCTGAAGTTTGAATCTCACATTAGAGCCGTTATAAAATCCAGCTTCTTCCACTTGAGGCAGCTACCTAAGTTTAGACCTATCCTTTCAAGTCAGCATTTTTACTTAGAAGCCTTGCTGAGATGAAAGAAAAGGAAGGACATTTGAAAGGAAGTTTCCCCCTAGGTTAGATAAGGGAGAAACAAGTCAAGATTCTCACGTCCTGGTGTGAATAGAAAAATAAAGGGCCCCCGACTCCATACTCCTGGAGCACCCCCCACAGAGCAGCACGAGGGACACGGTCGAATGCCTTCTCCAAGTCCACAAAACACATGTGGACTAGTTGGGCAAACTCCCATGAACCCTCAAGCATCCTGCAGAGGGTGTAGAGCTGGTCCACTGTTCCACGGCCAGGACGAAAACCACACTGCTCCTCCTGCAGCCGAGGTTCGACAATCAGCCGGACTCTCCTCTCCAGCACCCTGGCATAGGCCTTTCCGGGGAGGCTAAGAAGTGTGATTCCCCGATAGTTGGAACACACCCTCCGGTCCCCCTTCTTGTGGAGGGAAACCACCACCCCAGTCTGCCAATCCAGGGGAACTGTCCCCGACCTCCATGCGATGTTGAAGAGAACCATGACAGCCCAACAACACCCAGAGGTCTAAGATACTAAGGACGGATTTCGTCCACCCCCTCGGTGACTTCGGCCTGGGTGATGAACGAATCCAGCCCCAAGCACCCCGTCTCTTCTTCCCCCACGGAAGGCATGTCTGTCGGGTTCAGGAGATCCTCAAAGTATTCCTTCCACCGCCCGACAATATCCTCCTTCAAGGTCAGCAGCTCCCCACTCCCACTGAAAACAGTGTTAGCGAAGCACTGCTTTCCCCTCCGGAGGAGCCGGACGGTTTGCCAAAATTGCTTTGAGGCCAACCGAGATTTTGGCTCTGCAACCGCCCGGGCTGCGACACACTTGGCCTCACGGTACCTGCTTGCTGCTTCAGGAGTCCCACAAGCCAGCAAAGCTCGATAGGACTCCTTCTTCAGCTTGACAGCATCCCTTACTATCAGTGTCCACCACCGGGTTCGGGGATTGCCACCACGACGGGCAGCTGCATCGACAATAGAGGCAGAGAACACAGCCCATTCGGACTCCATGTCTCCAACCTCCCTCGGAACCTGAGAGAAGCTTTCCCGGAGGTGGGAGTTCCGGGAAAACCCTGACCGAGGGCTCCACCAGAAGTTCCCAGCAGACCCTCACTACACGTTTGGGCCTGCCGAGTCTTTCAGGCTTCCTCCTCTTCCAGCGTATCCAGCTCACCACCAGGTGGTGGTCGGTGGACAGCTCCGCCCCTCTCTTCACCCGAGTGTCCAGGACGTGCGGCAGAAGATCAGAAGATACGACTACAAAGTCAATCATCAACGTTCGGCCGGGGGTGTCCTGGTGCCAAGTGCACCGATGGACATCCTTATGCCTGAACATGGTGTTCATTATGGACAATCCGTGACTTGCACAGAAGTCCAATAATGAGACACCACTCGGGTTCAGAGCTTGGGGCCCGTTCTTCCCGATCACGCCCCTCCAGGTGTCACTGTCATTTCCCATGTGGGCGTTGAAGTCTCCCAGTAGAATGATGGAATCCCCGGGAGGGGCGCTTTCTAACACCCTCCCCAGGTATGCTAAGAAGACCTGGTACTCCGTACTGCCGTTCGGCCCATAGGCCGAAACAACTGTCAGAGTCCTCCCTTCAACCCGAAGGCGATGGGATGCGACCCTCTCGTCTACAGGGGTGAACTCCATCAAGAGACGGCTGAGCTGGCGGGAGACAAGCATGCATTTTATTGCATGTTGCATATTAAATCTGCAGCTGGCCCTAATTGTGTCTCTGCTCTGATTTAAAACAGATTTATGAAGCCGTCTACCAATATAATGATGCCAGAGAAACTTTTTTAATTTTTAACATATTTTGAAGCTCTGCAGTCTGATTCTCTGTTCAATAAGAAAACAACAGATATGTATCTGTAATTCTGAGTAATCGTTCTCTGAGGAGCCCAGCTTTTTTTACACTCTAAAAAAGTGTATCCACTGGATTTTTTGGTGACATCTCTAATGTTTTTAACCGACCAGTCTCCCAACTTTTACTGAATCATATATCGAAGTAGCTGCCGGTTAAAATTCACCGAGTGCTGCTGAGGTTCTCCTTCTCCACGTAGCTATTCTGTATGCAGTAAATAGCGACCCCAAATAATATTATGTCCCAAAGCAACAGATCTGATGATATTTCACCAAGAGTTGCTACTGGAGAGCAGCTGGAGAGCGAGGAAAAAACACGGAGTGAAAGTGCTCTGAACACGGAAAGCTGGACCCAGTTACTATTGGCTAAAGTAAATCAGCGGAGAGAGGGAAAAAAAGCGTAAACTATTGGTGAGGACTATCCCCTCCATGCCAAAGTTGGTGGGGACATGTCCACAGCAGTCTTTCAGAGAGTTACGCCAGTGCCCTGGTGACATCAAAAGTTCGAAGCCCCACAGCTCTGGAACTGTTGTAGCTAGAAGTCTGAATTTTCTGTACTTGTGGTTGACATGATTAACAAATATAATACAATGGGACCTGCCTTTTCTCAAACATGTCTTTATTACTGCTGTTCAAATAAGACCTATAATTTTCATTATCATGTTTGAACTGATAATGTGTAGTGCTCACCCAATTTTTTTTTTCAGAAAATACAGGGTGTTTGCACATGTAATTTGCACTTACAGTTCCTAAGTTCTTTCCTTTCCATTTAAGAATTTATGCAAAAAAGGTGAGAATTTTCCCAAAAAGAGGTGGATGTCATTTTGCTCTAATGCAATTAACTAAAGCAGCTTTATAATAACGTTGACTCTTGATGCATTTCATTAAAATGACTAGAAAACAGAATAAATTGTTCAGACCTGAGAGTTTCCAGTTTGCAGTTTGGACTCTTCAGTCCAGAAGACAGCAGCTCCACTCCAGAATCCTGCAGCTTGTTGTTACTCAGGTCCATCTCTCTCAGATTAGAGGACTGGGAGCTGAGAACTGAGGCTAGAACTTCACAACTTCTCTCTGAGAGGTTACAGTCATTCAGTCTGAAGATACAGAGATAGAAAGAAAATTAGGATTCCGATGGATTAAAACAAAATCAAACAATAATAGCAACAGTAGAGACGGAGGAAACTGCTTATAGTAGGGGATTGGCAGTTCCCAATCCCCTACTACATATAGAAATATTGAAGGTATTAATCATTGGTAAAGAAAACTGAACAAAGTATCCAATTGAAGGACAACTTGCAGTGCCTCACACCCACACATGCATGCTCAGAAAATACCAGTTACTATGATGAACAGACTAATAGGGCCTATGGAGGAAGATACAGTAAAGAAGAGAAAAACTAATTTTACATGTTATGAAATTGTGATCACATGTATAGTTAAGAAAGATAGTAGTGTCTATTAAACCTTTAAACATGTGCAATGTTCCTTTGATGAATTAAGGATTCGGAAACAGAATACAATTTTAAAGCAAAGAACGCAATTCAGGGCTGGTCCATCCTTTGTTTTGGTCAGTTTTGAAATAAAGTAAAACAATAATAGTTATTTGAGTTCTTTGTTTCTGAATAAAATTAAATAAAAAATAATTCAGGCTGTATTTTTCTCATTTTAGTTATTAAAAGAAAAGACATGTTTCATATATAGTCAATTAACCATTTTGATCTTCTACTGGAACCAGGAATGATACTCTGATTAAAAGAAAATACTCTGAAAGTCAGGAGCATTAAGTTTTCAATCAGAACTAGAATGGCAAACATACATATCAGGTTTTGTTCTAAATTATTGGGGCTTTTCTCAGTTGCCTCCTGTCAAAGATTTTTGGTAAGCCTCGCACTGAGCCACCAAAAGAAGTTTGAGGTGCAGTGATAAGAGACGTTTACCTAAATGTTGATAAACCGGTTTTCTGATACCTTTTCTTATGGAAAAATCTCTAGACTAATATGACCCAAAACAATTATTATTTAATAGATTTTTGAGTTTAAGATTGATTAATTCTAAATATTTGTTGTAAATAGACTCTTATGTAGATAAAGAAAAAAAAAATCACACAATGAATAAAGCTGTAATCCATTTAACTTCTGTACCTTCATATAAAGTGGACTCCTGATACAATTTATTATAATGACTGAAAAACAGAATAAATTGTTCAGACCTGAGACTTTCCAGTTTGCAGTTTGGACTCTTCAGTCCAGAAGACAGCAGCTCCACTCCAGAATCCTGCAGCTTGTTGTTACTCAGGTCCAGCTCTCTCTGATTAGAGGACTGGGAGCTGAGAACTGAGGCCAGAACTTCACAGCTTCTCTCTGAGAGGTTACAGTCATTCAGTCTGAAGATACAGAGATAGAAATGGAAAATCAGGATTCTGATGGCTTAAAACTAAATCCAACAATAATAGCAGTCAAGACAGAGGAAACTGCTTAAAGTAGGGGATTGGCAGATCCAAATTCCCTACTACATATAGAAATATTCAAGTTATTTATCATTGGTGAAGAAAACTGAACAAAGTGGCCAATCGAAGGACAACTTGCAGTGCCTCACACCCACACATGCATGCTCAGAAAATACCAGTTACTATGATGAACTGACTAATGGGGCCTATGGAGGAAGATACAGTAAAAAAGAGAAAAACAAAACTTACTTGTTATGAAATTGTGATCACATGTATAGTTAAGAAAGATAGTAGTGTCTATTAAAACGTGTAATGCTCCTTTGATGAATTAAGAATTTGGAAAGAGAATACAATTTTAAAGCAAAAAACCTAATTCAGGGCTGGTTTTATCCTTTGTTTTTTTAAGTTTTGAAATAAACTAAAACAATATATTTTATTTGAGTTCTTTGTTTCAGAATAAAATTAAATAAAAAATAATACAGAATGTATTTTTCTCATTTTAATGATTAAAAGAAAAAAAACTTGTCAGGTTTATTCAATGATGATTATAAAATTAATGTGTGCTTATGAAACATTTTTGCAAGGGGATGCTCCACTCCTGTCTCATGATTCAGTCAGGAGACCATCCTACCTTGTCATTCTGATGGAGCATTCTGTCTTCATGAACTGATCAATTATTCTGTCAGAACAAAACTCTGTTTGTAACCATGCGTCATGTTCTGTTAATAAACGTTCTGCAGAGGAGGTCCAGTGAAAGACAGTGTGTTTGAGTCTGGGGTTCAACTGTCTCTCCTTCCTGCAGGAATTGTATCCAGAATTGTGAATTTCAGTTCTTCAATTGTGTATTTTAGTTCTTCTTAAGAAAAAACCTATTTATGAACCCGACATTTTGGTGCCGAAACCCAGGAGTCAAGATCCAATTGTCCAGGACCGTGTGGGACCAAGGCCAAGAATCTGTCAACAGCCGTCCTCCCTTCGCCGGACGGGGCCAGTTTGATCCAACCCTGCCCTGGGCATCTTGGTGACGGCTCCAGAGGAACTGATTCTACACAACAAAGGATAGGCCTGACGCTTTTTTTTTTATTGTTTTTTTTATTTTTATTTTTTATAAAATTTTCCAGATTAATATACAAAAATTAAGAACAAATCCCCACCCTTCCCTTGCCCTCCCAGAACAGCACATCATAGAACACTTTACTTTTCACTTCTAGGACCATTTAAGTTACAGCTGTAATCGCAAGAGTATTTGGCGAGACCAAGTCTTGTTGACGGATATGGCATTTGGTTATTCTGTGCGTTAGAGTTTGAGACTCTGTGTTGTTCTCGAGATAGTAAGGTTTGCAGCTGCCGCAGCAGGGATATTTGACAGATACGGCATCTGGGTATCCGGTACGTGTGAGGGCCTGGAGTTGGAGACTCCAAAGTATGCACGATAGGTATTTTTTGTCTATGTTGGTTGAACTAAAAAATATAATAGGCCTTAGAATAGGCGTGACTGTGTGAGAGTGTGTGAGGAAACAATCGAACCTTTCAGGTTCTGTTGTTTCATGCTAACACAGCAGGGGTTAATACAGTATAACTCTTGTGGATGCAGAGGCAAGAATTTCTCACCTGAAAAGGTAGAAGCAGAAATTACCACAACAGTGTTTGGGTGCTGTCCTGCTGAATAAACATCCAGTGCGTAGAATACCCTAGGTGTTTGTACGGGACTACATTCTTTAAAATGGGAAAAGGTCTAAATAAATTCAGGGGTTATTTAAAATCTACGATTAGAAGTTTGTAGAAGCGCAGGATCCAACCAAAAATAAATACTTGGATATATAGTTTGAAAAAAAATATGGGTTTGAGAGACACCTCTAGTCCAAGATAAAATAATGAGAACTAAATGATAAAATAAAAGAACTAAAGTGAGTCAGGGAGGTAAATTAATTAAAAAGGATGGGTTCAGGAAAGAGTATAGAGAAGATCATAAAGGGGATGAAAATGTTGTGTCAGATTGATCCAAGTAATTCAAAATACTTGTAGGAGTGGAAGTAAAAGTATAAAATAGATGGTGTGTGGGAGTAGATCAATGGAGAAATGTTATGTGCCTGCTAGAAATAAGCACTAGTGCAAAAATAGATAAATAAAAAAATTAATAAATAAATACATAGATAAATAAATAAATATTTATAAATAGTTAAATGAGCTCCAAATGGCGAGTTGTTGAAATAATACATGTGCAAAGTAGATATGTTATTATTAAAAATTAAATAAATAGATCTAATGTTGTGTTTGTCCGGTTTTAATGTTATGTGTTTCTGTCTTTAAAGTGATGTTTGTGGGTCTTTTAAGTTGTTTGTGTGTCCAAAAGATAATGAAACACAGTTTAAAGGGAGACAGCTTGAATCTGCAGTAGCGGGGGAGTATGTCTGTGGATCAATGACTGCAGCGTTGATCCAGTTGACAGACTTCCTAATGCGCCTGCAGGGTCTCCAAAATTATTACTTCCGGAACCAAAAAATTTTAATTTAATAACCCACAAGAAAATTATACAATTATGCAAGCTACATACAGGAAATAAAAAAATAGAGGGATTAAATAAGTGGATTGCGCAAGCTAAAACATAGAAAAAGCTATGAAGCGTAGGTTGGACCATAATTGGGCTCAAGGGAGGGGCCGGTGGTCACACGGGAAAAACAAGGGGTCATGTAGAAAGCACAATAGGTGCTACAATTGTGATAAGGAGGGCCACTTTTCTTGAGAATGTCCAGACCCCTGTCATGGTCTTGGTTCTGTTGGTTCTGTAGATTGATGTTAGTTCTCATGTTTTTCTGTTGTCCTCTATTGTCCTCTTGTGTGTGTGTGTTCCTTTCCCCTTGGCTCCCTCGTTGTCTCGTCTCACACCTGCTCCTTGTCTGCTATATATGCTCTCCCTCTGCTCTCACTCTTTGTTGGTTCATCGTCTTTGCTGTCTTCCCATGCTGTGGTCTACGTCCCTCGTCTCTCCCTGGCTCCTAGTGTTTGGTTAACCCAGATGTCTCCATAGTTCTGGTTTGCTTTTCTTTATTAGTTGGATTTTTGCATCCCTGCCATTGTTTATTTTTTGATTAAATCCACAAGAAATCACCTCAGCCTCTCTGCCTCTGCATTTGGGTCCTAAACCACAACCAACCCTGACAACCCCCGCAGAGTGACCCTCCCCGTCACCAATGTTATGACCAGCACTGATGCCAGGAGTCATGTGCACCAGCAAAAATTGCAGTTAATTGTGGACCCAGTGGAGGTCCTGGACCTACAGCTAATTTTCCCTTCTTTTTTAAACGCATCAGAAAAACCATGCTGGCATTTAAACATTTAAGGGGTAAAAGTAAAATTCCTGTGTGACACCGGGGCCGATAAATCTGTTGTGAAAAATATAATACCTCAGATTAAACCGGGGTCAAAATGGATCACTGTATTCTCTGCTGATGGGAGAATGGTGGTTCAGCGCATTTCTGAAAAACAATTGGCCACTGATGAAGAGGGATTCACGGTGGAAGCTGATTTTGTGTTAAGCCCACACTGTCCAGTTAATCTATTAGGCAGCGATTTGTTAAGGAAATTGCAATTAGTGTTGGTGCCTACAGACAGAGGGGTAGTGGTGAAAAAATGTACATGCTGTAGGGGGAAGTTACTCCAGAAAAGCAGCTGACACACGTGATACATTCAGGCTCATTCCCTAAAACATTAATAGTTCTAGCAATTAATGGACAGGCATTTAGACTTATATGCGAATCAGGAGGCTGTAATACTTGTGTTAAAGATAATGTAAATGCTAAAACCGTCTAAAAGGCTATTTTTTGTAGAATCAGCAAATAATGAAACATCCTAGGATTGTATGTTAGTCTTCAAACAGCTAAAAGGTTGCAAGGTTGCATGTTTTTGTATTAATATCACCAACTCACCCCATCAATCTGTTAAAGTGAGACTTGATGGAAAATTAGGCATTGGAATTTTCCCCACGCTGGTGGAAATGAAGGCTGTATGAATAATACATAAAATGGTTTTGCAACCAAATTCTTCTGTGTTTTATTCAACATGCTTAGCATTTCTGCTCCATGTCTATTTTTCCAACTATGGAAACAGCCTTATAAAATTCTGTTCAATGTAAAACCCCAGGTTCAAGATTTAGCATGTGTTAAAATATCTCAGCATTCTTTGCTATCACAATTTGATGAAAATGATTTCAAAGAAATTCCAAATGCTTTGTGGTCTACAAGAAGAATTGATGTAAGACTGTTGACAACCGTAGATTCAGTTGAAATAGTTCCTAATACAGGCCAAGGATGAAACAATATCTGCTAAAATGTGAAGCAAAGTAAAGTATAAACCAATTATAGAAATTTTAGCGGGTGCAGAAATAAATTTGTTGTTTGGGCCATGTTATTTCAGAAGAAGATAAAAAGCTACGAGAATGTCTTTTTAGAATTGTACAATTACTGCAGGGCTTAGATTCCACATTAGGAAAAAAAACATAGGTTTTCTTAAGTTTTTTATGACACACTAATAGCTATGTCATAGTAGCAGGCAGCAATTCACAAAGCTAAATGTAGAACTTTTCTCAGCAACTGTCTTAGCTTTGTAAAATTATCAAAAACGGCGCATCCAAACAGTTGACGATAAAGCAAGTTATATGACCTCTATGTTGTTACAGTCTCATGGTGATAGGCTCATACCTGTAGTGTCCTATTTTAAGGGTTAAGGGGGACCCGTGGAAACAATAGTTCCCCCATATTCTTATTTTTATCTTTATCATATTGTGTAGTTGGATGTGTATATACAGGTGCTGGTCATAAAATTAGAATATCATGAAAAAGTAGATTGATTTCAGTAATTCCATTTAAAAAGTGAAACTTGTATATTATATTCATACATTACATACAAACTCATATATTTCAGATGTTTATTTTGTTTAATTTTGATGATTACAAATGACAACAAATGAAAATCTCAAATTCATCATATCAGAAAATTAGAATATTGTGAAAAGGTTCAAAATTGATGGCCCCTGGTGCCACACTCTAATCAGCTAATTAACTCAAACCACCTGCAAAAGCCTTTAAATGGTCTTTCCGTCTAGTTCTATAGGCTACACAATCATGGGGAAGACTGCTGACTTGACAGTTGTCCAAAAGACGACCATCGACACCTTGCACAAGGAGGGCAAGACACAAAAGGTCATCGCTAAAGAGGCTGGCTGTTCACAGAGCTCAGTGTCCAAGCACATTAATAGAGAGGCGAAGGGAAGGAAAAGATGTGGTCGAAAAAAGTGTACAAGCAAGAGAGATAACCGCACCCTGGAGAGGATTGTGAAACAAAACCCATTCAAAAATGTGGGGGAGATTCACAAAGAGTGGACTGCAGCTGGAGTGAGTGCTTCAAGAACCACCACACACAGACGTATGAAAGACATGGGTTTCTGCTGTCGCATTCCTTGTGTCAAGCCACTCTTGAACCACAGACAGCGTCAGAAGCGTCTTGCCTGGGCTAAAGAGAAACAGGACTGGACTGCTGGTGAGTGGTCCAAAGTCATGTTCTCTGATGAAAGTAAATTTTGCATTTCCTTTGGAAATCAAGGTCCCAGAGTCTGGAGGAAAAGAAGAGAGGCACTTCATCCACGTTGCTTGAAGTCCAGTGTAAAGTTTCCACAGTCAGTGATGGTTTGGGGTGCCATGTCATCTGCTGGTGTTGGTCCATTGTGTTTTCTGAGGTCCAGGGTCAACGCAGCCACATACCAGGAAGTTCTAGAGCACTTCATGCTTCCTGCAGCTGACCAACTTTTTGGAGATGCAGATTTCATTTTCCAACAGGACTTGGCACCTGCACACAGTGCCAAAGCTACCAGTACCTGGTTGAAGGACCATGGTATCCCTGTTCTTAATTGGCCAGCAAACTCTCCTGACCTTAACCCCATAGAAAATCTATGGGGTATTGTGAAGAAGAAGATGCAATACACCAGACCCAACAATTCAGAAGAGCTAAAAGCCACTATTAGAGCAACCTGGGCTATCATAACACCTGAGCAGTGCCACAGACTGATCGACTCCATGCCACGCCGCATTGCTGCAGTAATACAGGCCAAAGGAGGCCCAACTAAATACTGAGTGCTGTACATGCTCATACTTTTCATGTTCATACTTTTCAGTTGGCCAACATTTCTATAAATCCTTTGTTTTTATTGGTCTTCAGTAATATTCTAATTTTCTGATATGATGAATTTGAGATTTTCATTTGTTGTCATTTGTAATCATCAAAATTAAACAAAATAAACATCTGAAATATATGAGTTTGTATGTAATGTATGAATATAATATACAAGTTTCACTTTTTAAATGGAATTACTGAAATCAATCTACTTTTTCATGATATTCTAATTTTATGACCAGCACCTGTATATATATATATATATATACATACATACATATATATATAAAACTGTAACTGAAGCGTGTAACAAAATTAATTTCCCTCTGGAATTATTAAAGTATTTCTGATTCTGATTGAAAGCAGCAGCTATTTTGAGGCATGAGTTTGTCATGTCTCCTGAGGGGGGATATTGAGTATAGTACAACAAGTATTTTAATCCAACTGCAGGATTAAATAACTACTTTAAAATTTTTTGCAGAGCATGTCCCACATGTTGCGAAAAACATGTTATCTGCCCAGAGCTCCTTTTGTTTTCCCTACAGGAAGGCCTGAAGCCTGGAGACAGAGTGCTGATTAAAATCATCAAGGGGAAAATTGGGCAGCTCCAAGGTGGGAAGGACCCTACATTGTGCAACCAGCAACTCCAACCGCTGTGAAGATCCAGGAGAGAGACACACTTGGATTCCCCAGAGTCATTGTAAGCTGATTAAAGACGTTCCCCAACGGGAAGCCCAGTTACCTTCAAAGGGACCCCACGACTAATGTAGGGATCTGTGGTGAAGCCCAGCTACAAAGGGGTTAAGCAATTTAGAGCTTTTCATCTCAATGCTGGTGAAGAAATCAACCTAACCCAATTCCTTAGCGTCCTGGTTAGTGGGTGCTTCCTTGGAGGGACTGGTGAAGATGGGAAAACTAAAGTGGCACTGCTGTTTGATGGTGACCATTGGACTGGTGCTCTTATGGACTCAAACTGACCGCCAGAAACAAAGGAAAAACCACAATGGTTTTTGATGGATCCACAGCAAGTCATTCCTACGGCGGCAATATGTGGTGGCAACATTCCAAGCACGTTACTGAAGGTTTGAATAAAACGGACTGTTATGTTTGTACTCATACAGACCACTATGGATGAGTTGAAGATTTAAAGAGGTTTTGCCTACTCAAGGGACAGATTTTTAAGCTTTTTACATTCTTGATAAATCTTACATGTTTGCTTTTTTCACATTTTAATCCTTTTCATATTTTTGATTTTTGCATATTGATCTTTGATTACTGAATTCCCTATCAGCAATGCATTTATGATGTGTGTAGTAAAAATCTTTTTAGAAGTGCTACATGATAATGTTTATATGCACAAGACAGGGCCGGCCCGAGGCATAAGCGAACTAAGCGGCCGCTTAGGGCCCCCTGGTGGCCAGGGGGCCCCAAGCAAAAATGATTGAACAGGCCCTGGTCAATTTATTTATTTTTTTTTTTTTATTTTTTTTTTTTAACATTTAAATAACTTAAACAAGTGATATAAATGATGAATACCAATTAATAAATAAAAAATTCAAGACAAAAAAAATTCTGATTTGTCCACAACTGCTCATGCGCATTCACTTCGCGACGGTGTAGGTACCAGATTGACTCGGGCTGCCAGATTGACTCGGGGGCCTGCGCCTTTTGATGACGTCACAATACATAATTGTTTTAACGTTTGCACAATTGCGCAAAACATTTTGATTGGTCTGGACAGCTTACTAAAGTAATTATAGCGGGGTGTAGGTTTTATTCGAAAGCGGGATTGCTGTTTGTAAACGGACAATTTTACGAAGACATTCTCCATGGTCCCTGCGCCTTCTGATGACGTCACCGAATTCGCCATGGGCCTTGCGCCTCCCGATGACGTGACATTATGGCAATGCCACTCAAACAAACTACATTGAGCCCGCGGTCTGCATTTGTAACGAGAATAAATTCAGGAGAATGAAGCTAAAGGGATACAAAAAATAAACTTGTAATATTACAAAACCAAAAATACTACGAATACAAAGTATATTCAGAGATTAAAGTCCCTCTGATACTGTTTAAGTGACTGAGAAACTGCAGATTTGCCACATTTAAGATGGCGGACGCTCTGACGCATCTCAAAAGGCGCAGGCCCCCGAGTCAATCTGGCAGCCCGAGTCAATCTGGTACCTACAACGGCAGCCGCAGACAGCTCACGGTATGCAGCGCGCGCCTGCATTGACAATTCACACTGGCGCGCACCTGTTAATAACCAAGTCTAAGCCATGTCACAAAAAAGGATTTATCCCTCTGGTGCCGAAAAAAGAAAAGGAAAGAGGAAGAGAAAAAAGAGCAAGATAAAGGTATGTTTGCATGATTATTTACTGACCGCTATATTTTGTGCAGCAGCAGCACAGCTAGCTAGTCATCATAACTCATGTCGTGATATTTATCAGCCATCCATCACCATTAACAGTGAAATATTACCCGTTATTAATATACATTTATTTAGGTAGGTGTGTATTTTATGTGTTGATACATATCGGCGTAGGAGACCCAGCACATGCTGGACGGACTATGTTTCTCGGCTGGCCTGGCCTGGGAACGCCTGCTTGGGAATCCCCTCGGAGGGGAGGGACGTCTGGGCCTCGCGTTGAAGCTGCTACTCCCGCGACCCAACCCCGTATAGGCGGAAGATAATGGATGGATGGATAGATATCGGTTTAAGTTGGAGAAAACACAGATGCCAGCAGCCAGCTTAGCTAGCATTGTTGTTTGTGTTAAAATGAATCTACTAACTTAATAGACAAAGCACATGCGCTCTCTGCTCTAAGATCTTTGGTGAGAGATGGTAATTTATCTTTATTAGAAAATATACCAAAAATGAAAATAGAGTGCAGTTTTATTAACATGGTGCTTTCCTCATATTTAGGCTGCAGTAGATCACAATGTTAAGTTTTTACCATATGGCAATTATGCCTCATTTGCCAATAGAATATGAATTGTTAGGTGAGGTGTGGAGTTTCTTGTAGTGCAAGATGGGAAAATAAACTAATTCTACAATAAATTATCAGTAAATTTAGATAAAACCAAATTCATGATATTCGGAAAAAATAAAAAACAGGAAAACAATCCAATTAAAATATCAATTGAAAGTGTTGATTTAGAACAAGTACATGAAATAAAATTCTTGGGTGTCATATTAGACGATAAGTTTAGCAGGAAACATCAGATCAGCCTAGTAAAATCTAAAATAACCAAAAGTGTTGCTGTTATAAGAATTAGTTTCGTCCTGGACTACAAATCTTTGTTTATTTTGTACAAAACACTTATTGTACCACATTTAACATATTGTGTGGAAGTTTGGGGGAATACATACAAAACAAATTTACAGCCATTATACGTTTTACAAAAAACAATCAATCCGAATATTCCATAAAGTGGGATACTGGGAACTCACAAATCAGTTATTTATCAAATAAAATATACTGAAATTGTGGGACCTGGTAATATTTAGAACTTCACAATTCATGTTTAAGGTCCGAAATCAAAAACTTCCACACAATATACAGGAAATGTTTGGTGACAGAGAGGGGGGGTTATGATCTAAGAGGTGAAGGATACGTTAAAAAACAACACTTTAGAACAACCAGGAAGATTTTTTGTTTATCTGTGTGTGGAGTAAATGTCTGGAAAGGATTGAATGACGAGTTTAAAAAAATTATAAATGCAAACCAATTTAAAAAACTGATTAAAACCGAGCTCATTTCAAAATACGCTATATAAGATGACTGTTTAATAGTCTATAATGTAATTGATGACATAAATAGTACTTAAAATAATTGTACATGGCTAAACATCATGTGGAATGGAAACAAGTGTTTTTTTGGTTTCTTGATGTTTTGACAGTTAATTGATGATAAATTGACAAGTAGGAAAGGGGCAGGACATTATAAGATGTATCTTCTAGCTGCTCCTTTTCGAACAGAAAATATAAAATTTGCATGTCACATGGGCAAAATAATTTGTTTTATATTTTTATTCTTAAGTTTGTTTCATTTAAATTTTTTCTTTCTTGATTGTTTTTGCTGTCTGTTCGAAATAAATAAATAAATAAATAAAAACTATGCATTATGGAATGCTATTTTCCCCAGGAACACTATTGAAGTACTTTGGAGAACAACCAACTTTACCTGCCCCTACTGTTTCGAGTGTCAGTGCCTCCACAGCTGATGATGCAGCAGGTGAGGGTTTTCTTGATGGCAAATGGTTACATAGCCTGTTAATATGACATGAAACATTTAGCTTTTTCTTTATTTCTTTATTTTTTCTTTGTTTGTTTTATCATTGCAGGTTCATCCACTGCACAAGCGACATCAAGGGAGGAGCACTTACATGTGACTGAAAGCGAGGAGCAGTTACAAGCACCTACATTTACTGATCCACTGGTTTCAAACTCAGCCGGCATGACAGGTCTGTTAATCTAAGTTTTTGTTTTGTGTTGGCTTTACAATAAAATTTTCTGCTATGTTATTTTATTCTTTTTTATTTAATCTATTGTCCCTACAGGTCCTTCTACATCTGCACCCACTGCTATAGATTTCCCATCTACTGCCTCAACAAGCTCCAGCTATCAAGATGGATCAACAGCTCCTCCAATAGACCCAGCTGAATGGTCAGCATTCCTCTCAGATTCAGAAAGGACTGATCTGGTAAGAAGAGGCCAGCGCCAATCAGTGACACCTCTACATTCCCCAAGAGATCAGATGGATGAAGCTTTCACTACCACTATACATACAGACAATTAGTTAATGGGGAAAAAATCAAGCGAAGCTGGCTAATTTATTCAAAGAAAAGTGATGCAGTTTACTGCTTCTGTTGCAAATTATTTTCAAGAAAGTCCACAAAGCTGTCATCAGAGGGACTGTGTGATTGGGTAAATGTAGGTGCTTTGCTGAAACAGCATGAAAATAGTCAAGATCATTGCAATAATATGGTAAAGTGGAAAGATTTTGCCCTCCGTCTTTCTAAGCAGAAGACTATTGATGCAACAGAAATGGCCCTTTTGGATGCAGAAAGAAATCGTTGGAGAGATGTTCTTATCCGTTTGATTAGTATCATTCAGTCTTTGGCAGAGAGAAATCTTGCACTCAGGGGGTCTGTTGATACTTTGCATCAGGCCAACAATGGGAACTTCCTTAAAGAGGTGGAACTGATGGCAAAATTTGACCCTGTGTTAAAAGATCACATCAGACGAATTGATAGTGGAATGCAGCACAACACGTACCTGGGTAAGACTATCCAGAATGAGCTGATAGAGTGTGTCAGTGACAAAATAATTGAGGTAATGGTGGCAGAAATCAAGGACTGCAAATATTATTCAATAATTTTAGACTGTACACCTGATGTTAGTCACCATGAACAAATGTCTGTTGTGGGGCGCACAGTCACTCTGGGCACAACACCAGAAATAAAAGAGCACTTTTTAGGATTTCTGATAGCTCCAGAATCCACTGGCCTGGGTTTGTCCAATTTAATTCTTAACAGGCTTGAGGAATTGAACATCCCTTTTCAGGATTGTCGGGGGCAGTCCTATGACAATGGGGCTAATATGAAGGGGAAAAACAAAGGTGTGCAGGCTAGGCTATTGGTTAAGAATCCAAGAGCTTTTTATGTGCCTTGCAGTTCCCATACACTAAATCTGACAGTGTCAGATGCGGCTAAAGCATCAACGGATGCTTCTTGTTTTTTTGGAAATGTAGAGAAGGTGTACGATTTGTTCGCTGGGTCCACTTAAAGGTGGGACGTCTTACGGAAGTTTGTTGACATCACACTCAAATCCTGGAGTGAAACACGCTGGGAAAGCAGGATAAAAAGCATTGAAGCTTTGCGGTACCAGTCAGAGAAGGTGAGGGAAGCCCTGCTAGAAGTGAGAAGCAAAGCGACTGACCCTGTAGTGGCTGTTGAAGCCAACTCGCTTGCGGAAGAGATAGGTTCATTTAGGTTCCAGATTTGTTGTGTTGTCTGGTATGACATTTTGTCTAAAATTAACATCACGAGCAAGCTTCTACAGTCAAAAAACATGCAGCTTGATGTAGCAGTTAACCTTCTAAAAAAGAACAAAGGTGAACTTATCAGTTACCGAAAAACAGGCTTCTGTGATGCGCAGGCATCTGCTAAAGAAATTTGTGAGCGGATGAACACAGAAGCAGTGCTAAAAGAGAAGCGATTGCGTTCTACAAAAAGGCACTTTGCCTATGAGGCTGCAGATGAGCCTATAGTGGATGCTATGAAGAGGCTTGAAGTGTCATTTTTTAATGCCGTAGTGGATTGTAGCATTCAGTCATTGGAGGATAGATTTACATCTCTAAGTGAGGTTAAAGATAACTTTGGAGTGCTGCTCAATTTTAGGGAGCTTGATCAAAAAGTCCGGAGGGAACAATGTGAGCTTCTTGCGGAAAAACTCACTTGTGGAGAGGAGGCTGATATTGATGGTAACGCACTGGCATTAGAGATAGAGAGTCTTCCTGAACTTCCCCAAACTATGAAGACTGCCTTTGAGCTTCTCACATACCTCTCACAAAATGAGATGTTTGAGCTTTACCCAAATCTTTGGGTAGCTCTCAGGATAGCCTGCACTCTGCCTGTGACAGTTGCCTCAGCAGAGAGGAGCTTTTCCAAGCTCAAATTAATAAAATCATACTTGAGATCATCAATGGCCCAGGAAAGACTAAGTGGACTTGCAGTCATTAGTATTAATAACAAAGTTGGCCAAGCAATACCATACAATGATGTCATCAGTGACTTTGCCTCCAGAAAAGCTAGGAAGGAACGATTTTGAGGGCATTGTTGTACAATTCATTGTTGAACCCTTGCTGTTTTCATGTTTGCTTTCCTTATTTAAGTATCTGTTTTTGTAACATTCTATTTTTGATATTAATGTTTGTCTATATTGGTTTTATTTAAAATATTGCACAGTTAATGCACATTTGCAAATAAGTTATTTAATGTTTGTATTCAAAAGGTTTAATAAAACAAAGTATTGTAAGTATTGTTTATTTATTTTGTATTAATACATTACCATAGTCTATTCATTTTTAATATTCACTATAACATTATAGTGTGACATTTGTGTCAGTAATCTTCTAGTATAGGTGATTCTGCATGGTAGGAGGGGGGGGCCCCAAATCAAATTCTGCTTAGGGCCCCCAAGAGGCTCGGGCCGGCTCTGGCACAAGAGGAGGGAAATGTCAGGTTTATTCAATGATGATTATAAAATTAATGTGTGTTTATGAAACATTTTTGCAAGGGGATGCTCCACTCCTGTCTCATGATTCAGTCAGGAGACCATCATGACTTGTCATTCTGATGGAGCATTCTGTCTTCATGAACTGATCAATTATTCTGTCAGAACAATACTCTGTTTGTAACCATGCATCATGTTCTGTTAATAAACGCTCTGCAGAGGAGGTCCAGTGGAAGACAGTATGTTTGAGTCTGGGGTTCAACTGTCTCTCCTTCCTGCAGGAATTGTATCCAGAATTGTGAATTTCAGTTCTTCAATTGTGTATTTCAGTTCTTCTTAAGAAAAAACCTATTTATGAACCCGACAGACATGTTTCATATATAGTCAATGAAACATTATTAACCTTCTAGTGGAACCAGGAATGATACTCTGATTATAAGAAAACACTGAATGTCAGGAGCATTAAGTTTTCAATCAGAACTAGAATGGCAAACATACATATCAGGTTTTGTTCTAAATTATTGGGGCTTTTTCTCTGTTGCCTCCTGTCAAAGATTTTTGGTAAGCCTCGCTCTGAGGCACCAAAAGCAGATTGAGATCCAGTGATAAGAGACGTTTACCTAAATGTTAATAAACCAGTTTTCTGATATATTTTCTAATGGAAAAATGTCTAGACTAATATGACTCAAAACAATTATTATTTAATTGAGTTTATGATTGATTAATTCTAAATATTTGTTGTAAATAGACTTATGTAGATAAAGAAAAAATCAAACAATGAATGAAGCTGTAATCCATTTAACTTCTGTACCTTCATATAAAGTGGAATCCTGATACAATTTATTATAATGACTGAAAAACAGAATAAATTGTTCAGACCTGAGACTTTCCAGTTTGCAGTTTGGACTCTTCAGTCCAGAATCCTGCAGCTTGTTGTTACTCAGGTCCAGCTCTCTCTGATTAGAGGACTGGGAGCTGAGAACTGAGGCCAGAACTTCACAGCTTCTCTCTGAGAGGTTACAGTCATTCAGTCTGAAATGACAGATACAAAAATTGAACAATGGTTTTGCTAGATTAAGACTATAGAAAAATAAAAAATATATAACAACCATATAGTGCTCCATCTCACTGACTTGAAGATAACCAGATAAAGAAGTTAGTTTGGTGTAGTCAGAAATGTTTGGCAGCACTTTGAATGTGCTTCTGGAGGTAGAGTTTGGGTAAGAAATCACTCTTTTATCATTGTTTGGTTTCTAAAACTCATTGCAAGTGCCTCGTATTATATTTGTTGTGTAAATTGATGTTGATGTGTGGCCTCACAGAATTCTATATCATGACTCAGAACAGAGTGACACAGTATGAGGCAGGACAGAAGGTGGGAATATTCAAATAGCATTTATTGAAATAAACAGACAGTGGATTTGTAGTAGCAGCAACTAGGGTGTCCGAGGCAGGCTGACAAGATGCAACGTTTGCTCGAAGAGAGCTCCAGATGCTGAAGCCTAGATTGATACAGAGCTGACAGAAGATCAGATTGAAAGGATAATCCATAGGGACCTCAAGCACCTATTGTTGACAGATTCATGTTCAATCTACATGAAGTAGGTGTCCAAAGACAGGTCAGGCAAGCTCAGAGGTCCAACAGCAAAATACGTCAGGATCAGGCGATCAGAACCAAATCAGTAACGCTAGAATAAGTGTCACACCAAAGGCTCGAGCAATCTGGCTGGGAGGAAGCAGTTTATATAGAAGCTGTAACAGGTAGATGTGATGAGTGGTAATGAGAAACTGGTTGGAGTGAGGCAGGTGAATGTACTAAAACATTGAGCCAGTTATCAGTACCAAGACAATGACATTCAATGATTTTTCTCTATTGTTAAGCTGCGCCTGAGTGTGACAAGGTTAATGGTATAGTTAATGGATTGAAGTTTTGGATTTTTGATTAGCATTCAAGCAAAAAAAAAAAATATATATATATATATGCAACTGTCTAGTTCAATTTTTATGTTTTATAGTATAAGATGCAACAATTCCTGCTTTCCTTGTCCTTTGCTTTTAATCAATTGTTTTTATTAGTCCGCCTGGCCTTGGACCATAAGATCAGGGGGTGTTGTAAGGGCAGACTCTCTTTATTCACTTGTTTGTTTTTAGCCACTTACCTTAGTGACACCAGTTGTGATTTATAAAGTAAAGCTTTGTTCATATGTATTAACTGAACTGTGCTCATGTTTAATTTGATTCTGGTTTAGGATAATACAGGAGGGTGTTAAATCCTGCTTGGCATTTCCTGCTTGGCATTTCTGCCTGTCGCACCTCCTCCGGTGCCCATGGGTCAGCTGCAGGGTCATCAGCCAGGAACCACCATTCACCAACGTTTCGCCCCTTTAATCCTGGAATGTCTCCTGGTGGCGGGGCAGTGACAGGGACGTCTCCCTGTCACCCCCTGCAGCTGAAAGATGTTATTCCCTGCAACTGTTATCTGGGGGTTAGGTGTTATTCCCCCTGGTTCTGTCCTTCCTTCGCAGCCAGAGCCAAAAGCTCCCTTTCTCCGCTTCCTCAGCCAGTTCCTTTGTTGCCTTCCTCAGCCTGCCTCCCGTGACTCCCACGTCTTTCAGGAGGCGTATGGTCAACAACCCTGTGAAGCCTCGGCATCCGATCTCTACTGGGTAGATGGTAGTCTTCCAGCCAGCCTCCCGGCACTCCGCAGCCAAGTCTGAATACTTGGCCTTCTTTCGCTCAAAGGCAGCTTCGATCCCTTCCTCCATTGGCACAGTGAGCTCAATGAGGGCTACCGCTCTTGCCTTTATGGACCACGCCACAATGTCTGGTCGGAGAGATGTGGTGGTGATTTATGTGGGAAACTGAAGCTTCCTGTCCAGGTCAACCTTCATGCTCCACTCCTGGCCAGTAGTGAAGGGCCTTGCGGTTTCTCCTTTCTTGAAGCTTCTGATTCCTCCTTCCGCGACAAAGATGGTGGGGTCCTCTGCTGGTGATGGTGTTCTACTACCCTGTCTGTGCTCCTCCAGCACTTCGGCTAGCTTTCTCAAGACCTGGTCGTGGCGCCATCTATAGCGGCCCTGTGAGAGGGCCACTTTGCCGCCTGACAAGATGTGCTGGAGGCTTGCGTTGGAAGCATTGCAGAGTGCACAACATTCCTCGTTTCCTAACCACTGATGAAGGTTCTGAGGACAGGGAAGCGTGTCATATGTTGAGCAGATAAGGAAGCTAAGTCTTGCCTGTGGGATCTTCCACAAGTCTGACCAACTGATGTTCCTGGTTGAGATTGCCTCCCAGGTTGTCCAGCTTCCTTGTCGTCCCTGAGACACAACCTTGATCTTATAGCGGTCTTCCTCCATCCTCGTCACCTCCGCCACCACCATTTCCTTTCTTTCCTTGTGGTGGGCCTTGGACCAGAAGCGTGGTGCTTCTCCCCATCCTAGGCCTGCTCTTCCTACCTACACCCTGCCTACAATCTCCTTGTGCTGCAGCCGGCTTACAGCTTGGTCGACCTCGGTCTGGGCGTTCCTCTTGAGGCCAGTCAGGACACTGGCGTTAGCATTCCTGACCAGGAACTCATTCGGATGAATGAGTTGGCTTTCCCATCCATCCTACTCACGGTTGATGAGAGGATCTCACTCATTTTCAGGGGCCACAGCAGTCTCTGGTAGAGTGTAAATTGGTAACACCAGACCTTGTATTTGCCCGGTAGTTGGCTTTTGTCAATTCTCGATAGGCCATTAGAGAGCTGCTTCATAACGGTTTTCCCCATTTGCTTGTCAGAAAGCTCGGCAATGTACTGCCTCCCAAGGCTTTTGATTGGCTGCTCTGCAAGGAGTGGGATCTTCTCTCCCCCGACGACGAAGGTGGTGTTGTCGTTCCGGACACCTCTCCTGAGTGACAGGCTACGGGACTTGGAGGGCTTGATCTTCATCCTTGCCCATGACATCAGCTCATCAATCTTCCTCAGCAGTCAGCAGACATGGTGCTGTCTGAAGGAGGGTGGTGATGTAGTCCATGTAGCTCCTTAGTGGGGGGAGCCTCTGGCCAGTTGGCAGTTTGATTCCTCCTGCCATCTGCCTTGCACCGATGAGGATTATTTCAAACGCTGCTACAAACAGTGTAGGTGAAATGGCACACCCCATCGCTATTCCGACTTCAAGCCGCTGCCATCCAGTAGTGAAGTCCAGGGCAGGGAACTACATTTGCATGTGGAAGTACTCCATGGGGTAGATGATCAGCTGGTGTGGGACAGATCCATATGCGTTGGCCTGGTCAAGCCAGACGACATGCAGGTCAGTCTTGTCGCGCTTAGCCCTCTGGATCTGGTCCCAGATCATTGTGAAGTGCTCCACACATCCTGGGAACCCTGGCACCCCTGCCTTCTGGCAGTTGGTGTCGATGTATTTGTTCTGGAGCAGGTAGGTCGTCATCCTTCTGGCTAGCACAGAGAAAAAGATCTTTCCCTCTACAGTTAGAAGGGTGATGTTACGGACCTGCCCTATGTCCTTGGAGTTTGTTTCCTTCGGAATGAAAACCGCTACTGCTCTTTGCCACTCGGCTGGAATGAGTTGTTTTTTCCAGGCAGTTCTCATTAGGTACCATAGCAGCTCTAGTACCTTAGGGCAGTTCTTATAGAGCTTGTAGGGGACTCCGTTGGGGCCTGGTGCAGAAGAAGACCTTGCTTTCTCCACAACTTGCTTAACCTCACTGAGCTTGGGAGGCATGGTGTTAAACTCAACAGTTGGTTGTGCAGGCTGCGGTACATATCCTGGTGTTCCTAAGGGGACATTCCTTTGTGGATCGCTGTACTGCTTTCTGACATGCTGTTCCAATTGCTCCCTGGTAGTTTCAAGCTTGCCAGTCTTATTTTCCTCCAGCAGCTGTCTGACATGCTTGAAGGGATCCTTGAAGAAGCTGGCTCTCTCTTTCTGCTTCCGCTTGTTGCGTTTTCGGATGAGTTCAGCTCTGCGAAGCAAGGCTACCGGTAGTCTTTTCCTGACCTCTTCCCATAGGGCTTTTAGCCCTTCTTTCTCCGCAAGAGTGGCCTTTCTCCAGCTTTTCCGGAGTTGGCGACGCCTTTGTACCAGCTGGAGGATTTCCTTCTCTCTCCTTCCCTTCTCTCTTTGGATGGACCTCTGTCTGGAAACGATCTCTCCAAACCTGTCCTTGTAGGTCTGGTATATGATGTCTCCAATCCGATTCAGCTTGGCCTCTGCCCCTCCTTGCAGTGACTCCTGTAGGGTCTTGATCAGGTCTGCGTCCAGTGCATGCCATGTCTCTGCTCACTAGACTTTGGCCACTTGATCTTGTTCTTTCTGGCGGGTTTCTTGGTCTCTGCCATTGGCTCTGTTCTGTCTGGTGTGGTGAGGACTTTGTCTTCGTGCTCACGTGGGGACTCGTTCTCCACCAGTGGGCCTTCTTCCTCTGTCACCCTCCTGCCTTCAGCAACATTGGGTCCATTGGCTCTGTGGTTTTTGCCCTGGCTTTAGGTCCCTCTTGTCTCACCTGCTGTTGCAGTGCAAGGTTGCTGCTGGCCATTCTGTCCACACTTTGCTTTCCCCTGGTGGATCCGTACGCCCCTAAACGTGGTCACTTTCTCCCATGCAACAGTAATACATGCAATTACTGTTTGTTCTGGAGTCAAAACAAGTCAAGCTTAATTTCTACTCATTTCCTCCCATAGGGTTATTAGAGTGAGAGATGAATGTAAGCATCTTGGTGAGGGCAGGGACGACATTATAACCTGCTTAGTTCTTTGTCATTAGTAGTATAAATATTTTATAAATAACTTCATGTAAAAATAACCCCAAATGCCAAAGGTTTCATTTCAAAGGGAATACAAAAACTGGGGTACCTGATCTATTGTATGACATCAATTTGAACCCCATCCCACAGATTGATATCATCAAGGTACTTACTATTCCTAGGTTGGAGCTTGCTGGAGAACAAACCAGCTACTGCAAACAGTACCATTTAAACATTTGAGCATTTGAACTACTTGCAAAACTAATATTTTCAAAGTTAAGACAAATTAATCATGTGCCCTTTGACAAATTCATAAATTCATTTTCTGAACGACTTAATCCTTTTAATTGAACCAAGGGGGCCTATAATAGCTATATAGCCATAACAGCTATAACAGTTCCAGAGCTGTGGGGCTTTAAACTCTTGGTGTCAGCTTGGAGCTGCACACAATGGCTCCACCTGCTGTTAAAAATTTTACCAGTGAAATTTTATGCATTCTGAATTATTACCACCACTTCAGGCCCACTGGGTCATGGGTTTTAGGATGTTAAGGATATTTATGTGGCTCACACAAACATTGTACTTCTTTATGAAACATTGTCAACCTAGTTCACAATGTATTAAATCCCTTTTTAGTAGACTACATAATTATATTCTATGATTTTCTATTAATTTAGAAAGGGTTGTGATACCTTTATTTATACATGCTGGCTCATAACTTGACTTTTTTCATTTTGTAATATATCTATTGTTCAATATTATGCATGTGTTTCACAGTGATGGGCAGTAGCGCCACTACATGTAGCAAAGCTATTAGTTTAACTACATGTTCCAGTAGCTTGACCGTAGCGTCGCTGCTTTATTTATCAAGTAACTTTCCTGTAGTGACGTTATTGCTTTGATCAGGTAGCGACGTAGCGTCCACAAACGCTACAAAATCCAGGGCATAACTAAGAAATAAAACCAGGTTTTCTATTTTGAAACAACAATCAGAGGTATTCGTTGGACATTCACGCATGAGCCTCTATTCTGCCTCTTCTGTGTGTATCTACCGAAACATGCGCACGGCAGTGGAACTCAAAGAATGACACACACACAGAGCCACACACACAGGATGGAGGAGGAGACAGGAGCAGAGCGAGAAGAGCAGCAAACTGTCCCTACCACACCGTGGCCTTATCTTCAGAGATTATGAAACTTGTTGAATCCTCAGATAAAAAAAATAAGTGTACAGGTGTCTGCTTTGCAATAAAAAAAAAAAACTGTTGTCAGCGTCCAGGACATCCAACACCAACCTTCACATTCAGGTGAATCACGAATTTCCTTCCTGCAGTATGCAAGTAAAAATATCTAGCGTCAGTGTAAATCCCAACGCAATTTAGCCAAATGCTGTATGTTAATTAGTAAAACGAAAGCTACCCACCTACCAACAAGCAGTGTGTGATGGAAATGGACTAGCTAAGTGTCTAAGCAGAAGTGTTTAAAAAAAAAAAAAAAAAAAAGCATGAGTGATTTTCAAGGTTCTTGGTCAACTTATTCAGTCCAAATTTGCTTGAGTCATAGTCAAGATGTAAATCTACAAGGTCTGATGGCTCATTGAGTTTCAAATAGGGTTACATGGTGTTATCCAATATTTATTTTGGAAAAAAAATTTGGCGAAGCTAAATATTAGAATATTGCTCAATGCCTTTTCTTTGTACAAATAGAAACAATTGTATTTCCAATTTTTAGTTTAAGTGCTGTACTTGCTTTAATTCACATATAGAATTTCAGGTGTTTTTTGCTCCTAAGGCCCTCAGTGCTTAAGGGGTAAAGATATTGATCTATTAATTCATTAAAGCCACTGCCTGAATGTGATGGAATGGTTTCCATTCTCAAAGGAACCTAGTCTCAATGTTTTTTGGGGACTCAAATGCCCCCGATAGGATCTCAAAGTTCTGAGTGACTGGTCAGAAATGCAGCAATTCAAAAAGAGAGCTTATTGTTGAACCTCATGTTCCAAAAGGGACTTTTGTTTTCATCCCGTCTATCGAACGCTGGACCGGTTCACAGGAGTTTGCCAAACTGGTCCACATGTTTTTTATGGATCTGGACAGGGCATTCAATGATATCCCTTTTGGTTCCTTGTAGGGGATGCTCCTCAAGTACAGAGTTGGGGCACTTTACTAAGGGCCATCTGGTGTTTGTACAGTGAAGCACTAATTTGCTCTACATTGCAGCATTAAGTCGGACCTGATCCTGATGCGTTTATGACTCGAGCAGGGCTGCCCTCTCTCATCGATCCTGTTCTGAACCTTTACAGGGAGGATTTTGGCAAAGCCAAGGGCAGACGTGGGGTTTGTTTGGAAACCATCGGATTTCATTCCTACTTTTTGGAGATGATGCTGTTCTGCTGGCTCCCTTCTGCCATGACCTACAGCATGGACTGGGGAGGTATGATGCAGATGTGGAAGTAGATGTGGATAAAAATCATCTTTAAGCAATCTTCTTGACTAGAAATAGGTGTCTTTGCCACTGGTACTGACTGAAGCCGAAGATTACAAGTACAATAATGATTATTTTGTTTTGTCAATTTTAGCTCCAGCAGTACTATGATAATGTTAATGATAATGCTAGCTTCTTTAACCACTGAATGGACCTTTTGACCTTTTTTATAATCTGAGTTTAAAGATTAATGAAACAAAATGTTGGACAATATTTAGTTTCTTACCTATTACAAAGTAGAGAAACACATAAAGATATAAGCAAATCAATAAACCTAGTTTCTATTTCCCTGTCTAAAAATTTGTAAACACTGCCTTTTGCCGATAGAGCTGGAGATGGAATGAAATAATTAATAATTGCTCCATGTTCATGACAGAGAACATTTTGGTTTCCAATTAAAGGTGTTAGTTCAGCCTTTTGAAATACAAATGTTGGTCTCTTAACAACTAAACTAGTTTTTGTTTCTATTAAATGCATTTTTATAAACTCTTAGTAAAACCAATATTTATATTTTGTGATTTATCCTTACTTTATGCTGGTTAGATCATGGTTTCAAAACCCTAATTCTGTAGGTACTTACAGAGCTTTGTTTGAAGCTTTGACCACTGGCAGCAGCCTGAGAAGAGCCTCCTCTGAAGCAGAGTATTTCTTCAGGTCAAACACATCCAGATCTTCTCCTGATGTCACTAAGATGAAGGCCAGAGCTGACCACTGAGCAGGAGACGGTTTATCTGTGGAGAGACTTCCTGATCTCAGAGCCTGTTGGATCTCCTGGACCAGAGAACGATCATTCAGTTCATTCAGGCAGTGGAACAGGTTGATGCTTTTCTCTACAGACAGATTCTCATTGATCTTCTCCTTGATGTACTGAACTGTTTCGTCATTGGTTTGGGAACTACTTCCTGTTTTTGACAGAAGACCTTGGAGAAGCGTCTGATTGTTCTCCACTGAAAGACCCAGAAGAAAGCGGAGGAATAAGTCCAGGTGTCCATTTGGACTCTGTAAGGCCATTTTCACAGCATTCTTATGGTGATATTTTAAATTTGGTCTGCTCAATAGTTTAGATTTAATAGAGAGTCTTATTAGATCTTCATATCCAGAGGTGATAAAGCTACGATGGAAATGTAGGGCAGCCAGAAACTCCTGAACACTCAGATGGACGAAGCAGAGCACCTTGTCCTGGTTCTGGTACAGTGTTCTCTCCTCTTTAAAGATCTGTGTGAACACTCCTGAGTAAACTGAGGCTGCTGTGATATCGATGCCACACTCTTTCAGGTCTGATTCATAGAAGATCAGGTTTCCTTTCAGCAGCTGATCAAAAGCCAGTTTTCCCAGAGACTCAATCATCTTCCTGCTCTCTGGACTCCAGTGTGGATCTGTCTCAGCTCCTCCATCATACTTGACCTTCTTCACTTTGGTCTGAACCACCAGGAAGTGGATGTACATCTCAGTCAGGGTGTTGGGCAGCTCTCCTTCCTCTCTGGTCTCCAACACATCCTCCAGAACCGTAGCAGTGATCCAGCAGAAGACTGGAACGTGACACATTATCTGGATGCTTCTAGATCTATTGATGTGGGAGATGATCCTGCTGGCCTGCTCCTCATCTCTGAACCTCTTCCTGAAGTACTCCTCCTTCTGTGGGTCATTGAACCCTCTGACCTCTGTCACCATGCCAACACACTCAGGAGGGATCTGATTGGCTGCTGCAGGTCGTGTGGTTATCCAGAGGAGAGCAGAGGGAAGCAGTTTCCCCCTGATGAGGTTAGTCAGCAGAACATCCACTGAGGTGGACTCTGTAACATCAGTCAGGATCTCCTTGTTGTGGAAGTCCAGAGGAAATCGACTCTCATCCAGACCATCAAAGATTAACAGAACCTGGAAGTGATCAAAGCTGCAGATTTCTTTAGTTTCAGTGAAGAAGTGATGAACAAGTTCCACCAAGCTGAACTTTTTCTCTCTCAGCACATTCAGTTCTCTGAAGGTGAATGGAAATATGAACTGGATGTTCTGGTGGGCTTTGCCTTCAGCCCAGTCCAGAGTGAACTTCTGTGTTAAGACTGTTTTCCCAATGCCAGCCACTCCCTTTGTCATCACTGTCCTGATTGGTTGATCTCTTCCAGGTGGGACTTTAAAGATGTCTTCTGGTCTGATTGTTGTTTCTGGTCTGGTTGGTTTCCTGGATGCTGTTTCAATCTGTCTGACCTCATGTTCATCATTGACCCCCCCAGTCCCTCCCTCTGTGATGTAGAGCTCTGTGTAGATCTGGTTCAGAAGGGTTGGACTTCCTGCTTTAGCGATCCCCTCAAACACAGACTGGAACCTCTGCTTCAGACTGGATTTAAGTTTACGTTGACAAACTGAAGCCAAAAGCTCTGAAAGGTTAAAGAATATCATTAGCATCATAACGATTCCTTTCAATAAATTATTTGTTCTTTCTGCACTTCTGACTGAAATAAAGTCATAATTTCTCCATCATTAAATCTCTGTAGAAATCTTCTTACTGCTCTGCAGACGTTCAAACAGCTCCTCCTGTTTCATCCTGCTTAGGAAATTCAGTGTGATCTTGACCAAAGCCCTTCTGCTGCTCCTCATATGCTCCTCATCCTTCCACTGACTCTCTAAGCCTTCTGGTTCATCTGGACTCAGAACCTTCTGGATCTTCTTCAGCTCCTTCTTCACAAAACTAACAATGTTTTCCTCCACCAGCTGAACAGAAGAATACATGAAGGACACATCAGACTGAGATCAAGGAGCCAAACATCAGCTCCATGTTGGACAGACTGACAGACCCATGGAGAAGTAGTTGTAGTTCATGTACAGACCATAAATATGGAGTCCAGCTGGGTTTGATGCTGCTGGGCAGATGGATCACTGGGAACCTCTGAGTTCTGCTGGTCCACTCTGTGGAGGAACCAGGAAGCATTAACTCACATTCTGTAGAACAAACAGAAAAAGGCCAAGGTCCTTCTGGTGTCCTGATCCAAAAGCTATAAATAGGGACACCCATCACCACAGAGGAAGCTCCTACCTGATAAGAGTCTGGATTTCTGATGCTCAGACTGATGTTAAAAATAAGTAAAAATAATGGAAATTAATTCAGAATGATAAGTTTAAGATTCCATAGAAACCATAAAACACAATAGCAGCAGCAGCCTATGTTAAAAAAAAGAGGGGTGGGGGAGTTAATCCAAAGTCCAATGGTTGGTTGGAGATTTTTACGTCCTTAGATGAATCCCTTTGCTTCATGATTAAAATGGTCCAACATCTGCAGCTGAGACCTAACATGAGGATCCATGGAAAGAAATAAAGTAGGTGTTCATTAAGAAACTTTATTTTCATCTCGTATACTTAGTGTATACATAACAAAAATTTGATACTTACAGCTTTTCAAGAGTGAAACAGAGCAGAGAACATTAGGGAACATTTAAAAAGTGCAGCAGTAATCAGAATGTAAGTTGACTTTAACAAGGCATTTCTTTGCTTCAAATGACTCTAACTGGGGTTCCTGATCCCCCTAGATATATAGAGTAGAGCCCTTTCGCTTGCACAAGCGGTTACAAAAGATGAAAAAAAAGTTTGTTGCACAAAACATTGGTTTCAGAACTGACCACTTGTTTGCTACTGATTAGCAATGCCTATTTCAAGCTGACAGTTCCTTATGAGGTGCCCCCAGGGACATAAATCAGAATTAACTTGCATATACACATATTAAATTACACTCTTCCATATAATATACTGAAAACCTCACACAAACACTAGTAAAAAGCTCTCACATAAACTAGTGAAAACATTGACCTCTTATATAATCTACTCAAAAGCTCTCATACAAAGTAGTGAGAACTGTTCATATAAACTGGTGAAAAGCTTTACCTTTCATACACACTACTAGAAAGCTTTCATATACACTATTAGAACGCTCTCATATACACTATTAGAAAGCTCTCATATACACTACTAGAATGCTCTCATATACACTATTAGAACGCTCTCATATACACTATTAGAAAGCTTTCATATACACTATTAGAACGCTCTCATATACACTATTAGAAAGCTCTCATATACACTATTAGAAAGCTCTCATATACACTATTAGAACACTCTCATATACACTATTAGAAAGCTCTCATATACACTATTAGAAAGCTCTCATACACACTATTAGAAAGCTAAAATATATGGTCCCCCTCCTTTAATTTAGGCAAACATTGCTCAAATATCACCGAATCCAGATGGTTTGTTGTTGATGAAGAGAGGAATAAACACAGTTTAAGATTTGCAGCTAAATTAATTTGTTTCCATATTATGGATCTGCTATCAGGCACTTCCCATCATCTTATATCAGTAATAAAAAATTATAAATACAAATTTGGTATTTGGTGACTTGACTTTTATTTCTGTCAGGCTGAAGTGAAAAAACTTGGAAAGAGACTGATTCTCTTGGCGTTTAAAATAACAACACAAAACAGCATAAGAAAACCGCATTTATTTTTTTTATTTTACAATTTTGTAAACAACAGCGGCTGATTAAACTAAATGTCTCACCTTGTATAATTTTACGACTTTTTATTTAACCAAGAAATGATCCGAAAGGCCTGGGAAATGATCAGATCCGCTTATGTGGCTGCAATGCGCGGCGCGCTCCCGACACAGGTGGAACAGATTTTCACATGGGAACAGAATTTCGCACAACACCGGAAAAGGATCTCTGTTGAAGCAAAAACATAAAAAATGAAGTCGAGTAATGCCCATGCTTCTGTGAGTTGTTTAGCGGATAGCTGAGCATGAATCAATAATTTTATTTGATACAATTTCGGCCGGAGATAGCACAAAATGTACGGAGCTAGCCAGAATGACCTCCGTTTAAAACAACTTCCGGTGTAATGACGGTCCTTCCTGTTTCACTGAAACACCTTCCATTTCAACTGAAACACCTTCCGTTTCAACTGAAACACCTTCCGTTTCAACTGAAATCCGCTAATAGCTTTTCAGTAGTGTGTATGAGAGCTTTCTAGTAGTGTATATGAGAGCTTTCTAATAGTGTATATGAGAGCATTCTAGTAGTGTATATGAGAGCTTTCTAATAGTGTATATGAAAGCTTTCTAATAGTGTATATGAGAGCTTTCTAATAGTGTATATGAGAGCGTTCTAATAGTGTATATGAGAGCATTCTAGTAGTGTATATGAGAGCGTTCTAATAGTGTATATGAAAGCTTTCTAGTAGTGTGTATGAAAGGTAAAGCTTTTCACCAGTTTATATGAACAGTTCTCACTACTTTGTATGAGAGCTTTTGAGTAGATTATATAAGAGGTCAATGTTTTCACTAGTTTATGTGAGAGCTTTTTACTAGTGTTTGTGTGAGGTTTTCAGTATATTATATGGAAGAGTGTAATTTAATATGTGTATATGCAAGTTAATTCTGATTTATGTCCCTGGGGGCACCTCATAGTTCCTAGCTTCTGCACGGATGTTTATCCTGTTATGAAACTCTGCTAATTTTCTGCAGGGTCATCTCACACCCTTGTGATCCTCAACAAATACACTTCTTACTTAAAAAGAAAGACATAAGTTGAACAATTTTTTACATCACACTATTTATTTACAGTATCACACTTGAACCCGAGAGTATTGATTTTATGTACACATGTTGATTTTATGTACACATGTTGATTTTATGTATACACATGTATATTTTATCCTGTGCGGGAAGTGCTTTTATTTTATTTTATTTTATTTTATTTACTTTTATTTATTTTAGTTATTTTATCTTTTTGTGCAGCACTTTGGAAACCTTGTGTTTATTTAAACCGTGCTATATAAATAAAGTGGATTGGATTGGATTGGATTAAACATGATCAGATCAAACTGGTCCTTTATCTTAGTTTGCCTCCTTTAGTTATTTGATTTAAAAGTAATCTGATTTAACATATGAATTAAAAATGGGGGAGAAGAACTTTAGAAGAAAAAAATCAGAAACAAAACAATCATCTAGAGTCTGAACTGAGTACAACTTATTCTGTCATTGATAGTTTTTGTAAAATGTTTAACCTAAATTCTGGCTTCAGCTGAAATCAGCCTGACCCCTACTGGACCAACAGGTGAACTACAGACCTTTAGAAACACCTCCAGCAATGTTTACCCTGAACTCAATGGAGACTGAATAATTGAAAAAACATCCAGAAAAAAAAAAAAACATTTTTATTAAAAGGAATAAAAGTTGGTAAATCAAAACATTTCAAACTGAGTTAGTTCAGTTTTAAAGGAGAAGTTCGTTTTTTTACACTTTAAGCCCATTTTCTGTAGTGTCCAGGATGAAATCGAATGATCGACACCAAAATTTTGACAATTGGTCCTGTCTCTGCTTTTTGGCTCATTTAGAATCCACCCCTGGCTGTTTCAGAATGGCTTCCATAGTGCATGTCCGATAATGTCCTTAAAACAACCTTAAACGTTCTTTTGTTTTAAATATGCTACTCACCGGGTCCTCAGCGCTGTTCAATGACGTTCCAAAAAAAGTTTCGTAAAGAAAAAACGTTCCTGTAGTGTTTTATTTAGCATTTTGTAAATCCCATTGAGTTCTGTAGGAATAGTCAATATTCCGCTGCCACCGGAAACGGAAATGGGGCCTGTTTACACAGTTGTAGTCTTTTCGCTTCACTCTGTGTACTCCGACGTCGAGGTGCTAACGTCTCTGTTAAACACTTTAAAAAACTCTGAAAATGGAATACGAAAGGTGGATTCTTGATTCTCGACGTCGGAGTACACAGAGTGAAGCGAAAAGACTACAACTGTGTAAACAGGCCCCATTTCCGTTTCCGGTGGCAGGGGAATATTGACTATTCCAACAGAACTCAATGGGATTTACAAAATGCTAAATAAAACACTACAGGAACGTTTTTTCTTCACGAAACTTTTTTTGGAACGTCATTGAACAGCGCTGACGACACGGTGAGTAGCATATTTTAAAAAAAGAACGTTTAAGGTTGTTTTAAGGACATTATCGGACATGCTCTATGCTAGCCATTCTAAAGCAGCCAGGGGGTGATTCTAAATGAGCCAAAAAGCAGAGACAGGACCAATTGTCAAACTTTTGGTGTCGATCATTCGATTTCATCCTGGACACTACAGAAAATGGGCTTAAAGTGTAAAAAACCGAACTTCTCCTTTAAACATTTAAAACATTTAGACAGAGCTCACCTCTTTGCAGCTGAAGGTCGGTCTGTTTTAAACTCAATAAGGTGACCCTTTGACCTGTCACTCTTTAAGGAAACACAGCTGGGTTCTGGTTCTGGTTTGAGGTTCTGTTGGATCCTGAAGGAAAAACTGAATTCAATCTTAGTCTAATAATGTATTTAAAGTTAAACAGTGAAGCCCAGAACTCTAAAGTGTCCCACAGTGGCTCTAGTTTGAAGTGGATCCAAATATTCCTGGTTTCACTGTAAACCGTATATTAATGATGGATTAATAATTAGCTCTGATGATAATTAATAAGGGATGATGTTTGGGTTTGTTAGCAGGAACTGAACAATAATCAGAAAGTCTGGATGTTGAACAGTGTTTGATGTGTTCTGATCTTCTATCCTGACAAACTTTCTTCCTTTGGATCAGAGTCAGAACTGCTGATAGAGAAACAAGTTCATTTATCTTCTAGTTGATTGTTTTACTTGTTCTAGTCTTAAACTGATGATCAAAGCCCTTTAGAGCAGCAGCTTTATTTTCAGCGGCTAATTTCTGAGCTTCTGTTCAACTTTTTATGGTAATATTGACCTGGTGGTGCATTCAAGGACCTTTCATTAATTAAGTAATTTACACTTAATTTCCTATCAAATATTTCTCTTGTTCACTTTTGAAGCTGCTGATTTCACTGATGTTTGCAGATAACAGTGAGAGATCATGTTCTCCATCAGATTTAGTTTGGATGATTTAGTTTCCATCTAATAGTTGAATCAGCATCATGACTTGCCTACATGTGCATCACCTTAAGCTCAGCAGAAGCACCAACTCTGGTTCACTAATGTGACACAAGGTGATCCAGAAAGATTCAGCTGGATGAAGAACAACTGATTTTAGCTCTAATATCATCTAACAAGATCATTTTATATCATCACAATAAAACAATCCTTTGATTATTTCCATTATTTAGCCTCCATCACTCACTGCTTCACATTTGAACAAAGACATGAGAGAAAGAGTTGTGTTCACATTAATATGTTGGAATGAAGTTAGTTTAAACTAACTAGCGAAACATTTAGAAACAGCTCACCTGTTTGCTGATGAAGGTTGGTCTGATTTAAAATCAATGATAAAATCCTTTGACCTGTTGCTCTTTAACGACACACAGCTGGGTTCTGGTCCAGGTTCTGGTTCTGGTTGTTTCCTGTGAATAAAGATGGTTTGGTGATGTTCATGCTGAGCTCTGACATGGAGAAGAGTCCTGGACAGTTAGAGATGGTGATCTGACCTCTGAACTTTGCTCTGGTCCTCATGTTCTCCACACAGAGTGGTTTTAGAGGGAGGGACTCTGTCCTCTCTGTCCTCACACTGATCCATGCTGCTCACTTCACATCAGCTCACACACCTTCTACCTTCATCTGAGGAGGAAAAACTCATCATTCAGCTGAACATAAACTCTGATCAACAACACTGACAGGAACCAGCAGGTGGCGCTCACTGCTGTCTGTTAAAATATTCTCCATAGAAATCCCTCTGCAGTCTCTGACTGGTGAGTCAGCATTATTCCATGTTTATCAATATGCTACAATCCCACACGAACTCTGATCTGCCATAAAACCAGTTAAAGATCAACTGGAGTCCAGTATCAGACTCTGGTCCAGAACCAGGACCTGATGTCAGAACTCCTGTCTGAGAGTTTCCTGGAGATAAACAGTTGGTCTTTATTTCATGCAAAACAACCTGCAGCTACTTAACACTGACAGCCTGCTGCTCTACAGTCTCATTGGATCAAACTCGTGTCTCATCAGGAGACTAAGTCTCTGCTTAGAGACTTGAAGGAATAGAGATGGACTCACTCAGTTTCTCCCCATGAAGTTCTTCATCATGTAACTCTTCTGTCTGGACCGGGTCTGTGTAGAAGAAGAGAAACTCTGGGACTTTTTCTCCGCTGTTGTTCCTCTGAGTCTGAAAGCTTCTGTTACTCTGAAAACAGACTTAATGTTCCAGCTCACAGGGCAAAGATCAGCTGCTATAACTTTATATGACTTCAACTTTTTCAATAATTAACCTGTAGCAGCTTCCTGATGCTAATCGGACCATCAAAGAAAGTTCTAAACTCTCTGGTCTCTGATGGTATAAACACCCAGAACTCTTTCTATTTTACAGTCTGCAAGATCCAGACGGAACCTGAAGAAGCAACTGATCCAATAAAACTAGAGTCATTAGAGTTAAACATGAAACTAAATGGATGTTTTAGATCAAAATAAATGTTGGTGTAGTTCTCTTCAGCTTCCTGGCTCCTTTGGTCTTTGTAATCTTTTCCAGAAATATAGATATCACTGACCTTGTTTCTCATCTCTTCTTGAGATCCAGGCCTGATGTGTTGCTGTTGAATATTTTTATCCTACTCCATGTTGTCAGATGGGTTGTATAGGGTTTCCTCTTGATTCTGCAGATCAGTAGGTAATCAGGCCCAGATATGGTTGTTGTGTATAGCTTTATTAATGTAATGAATTAAATCATCCTGTGAAAAAATATTTTTTTATTATCAGATATTCTTTGATACAGTCTTTTCCCAGTATGACTTTATACTTCTTGCAGTAATTATTATAGTACCTTTAAAGGAATCCTGACAACACAACATTTTTGAGACACTTTAGTCCATCCCAAATATACAAACAACTTTGTTATAAAAATGATGTCCATTTATAGAAGCACATTTAAAGAGTTCACCTCATTATACTAAAGAAATGTAGAAATCGGCTCCTCGATTCTTATTGTGATTGGATGTATCAATTATCAGAGTGGTTGTCATGGAGACCTCTTATGGTTGCTGTTAGATACCAACAGAAGCTTCTGTCAAACAGACAGGAAGTTAGAACCTGGAACAGAGACAGATGGTTCCTTAGTGTGACTCTGACAATTTTTTGTTAAATAATTAAAATAGAGAAGCTAATGACTAACAATATACATTAAAAAATGTAGCTTAGCTGTAAGATGTAGGTTATATCAGCCTATATTGGAAAAAAAAATACAAACCTTTTGAAAAAGTTCATTTTTTTATAGTACCAGCAGTAATTTTAAACTCCTTCCAGCACTGCTCTTCTCATCATCATAGAGTGACAGAAATTTTCCATGGTTTATTCCTCAGGCAGTTTTTGTCACAGAGACATTTATGTGCTATAAGATATATCTAGATGTTTATATCTATGAAGCTTCACCAGTAGAAGTTATTGTTTGTCCACAATGTGTAATTACAAATACATGATACTTTGTTTATATCAGTATTTCTGTAAATCCCCTCAGGCACGATGAGCACAAATGGATTTCTTGAACTGATTTAATGAAGCCTCCAAATCTTCATTAGCACCTTGAAAACTGTACAGAACAATACAGTTGACACAATTAACTAATTAGCTACCATTAAACCACACAGTGTACATTGTAGCTGGCTTACAACAGAATAAAACAATGTAACGTTAAATACAAATAATAAAATACCTCATTGGCTGCATGCCACAACGAGGGAATTATCCGTGAATTAAAAGGTGATTGTCCTTGATGCTGTCCTTGGTTTTTACTCAACAAACTTCAGCTTATAATGTTTGTGAGTAATGTGAAAAACCTCCGTTGATTTCCATGAATGACGGACGTTGGTGTTTGTTTCCATGGTAACCCAAGACGGACGTTGGTGAAATAACGTTTTCTCAAAACAGCGCAAGAACAAGCTTGTAGATATAATCATGAGAATAATCATAAATAAATCAAACCATGTGTCACTCAGTAAAACAATATAGATATACAATCATATTTACAATAATTAATATGAAATGTAAATAACTATATATACATATATCAATATCAATTAATTATATCAATAAACTGTCTGCATCATCATGGATACATTTACACTCCCACCAAATTACACAAACTAACAGTATGTGGGATTTCTTAGAGTTATAGCAGGTATCATCAAAGGATATTTCTCAAAGGTAAGTACGTGCTAAATAAACTCACTGTATTGCATCTAATCTGCTTCTATCAAAGTAACAACTTTGTGTATAGGTCTCTCTAAATACACTGTACTTGTTGTAGCTTTCCCTTTGCTATCGTATGTGGTGTGGCTAACTAGCAGCTTCAGCTTTCTGACCCTACCATCTTTCCCTGGGTAGACTTCGGTGACTCTTGCTAGTTTCCATTTGTTGCGTGGTGTCTGTTCGTCGTAGAGAAGGACGATGTCATTGACCTTTGAGTTCCTTCTGGTTTTACACCACTTCTGTCTTGGTTGCAGGTTGAGAAGATATTCTCTCCTCCATCTGTTCCAAAACTCATTGGCCAAATACTGGACTCGGCGCCACCTCTTTTGTAGATAGAGATCTTGCTTGACAAATTGTCCAGGTGGGGGAAGAATGATTGTTGATTTCATAGTCAGAATGTGGTTTGGGGTTAGTGGTTCAGGTCCAGATGGGTCGTTCAGATATTCAGTGGTAAGTGGCCGGCTGTTGATGATGGACATGACTTCATACAGGTAAGTCCGGAGAGAGGTGCTGTCGAGCCTTTGTGCAGACTGGTCCAGAACTGCAGTCAAGATGCTCCTTATCGTTCTTATCTGCCTCTCCCATATGCCGCCCATGTGACTTGCCGCAGGAGTATTCATGAGGAACTCACATCCTAGAGCCTTCAGTCTCTCTTCATGAGTTCTGCAAACTCTCTCCTTGCACCAACGAAATTAGTCCCTTGGTCACATCTCAGTTGGCGAACTTTTCCTCTGATGGCAATGAATGATCTGAGTGCATTGATGAATGCGTCGGTTGTCATATCGTCGATTACTTCTATGTGAATGGATCTTGAACATAGACAGGTAAGTATGAGTCCATATCTTTTGAGATCCTTTCTTCCTTCTTTAATGCCAATTGGGCCAAAGCAATCCATTCCACTGTACGTGAAAGGTGGAGCTGCTTCCATTCGATCTTGAGGTAAGTCACCCATTCTTTGTTCTTCGGTGCGTCGTCTGTACATTCGGCACTTCACACATTTGTAGATGTGTGATGAGACAGCACTGCTGCATCCCAGGATCCACCATCCATTAGCTCTGAGTGCGTTTGTTGTCATTCCACGTCCTTGGTGTTGGATCTTTTTGTGGTGGTGCTTGATGAGTAACGACGATATGTGGCTTTTCTGTGGAATAATTGCTGGATGCTTTTTGTGTGGGTGTAGTGCAGCTTGACCTAGATGTCCTCCCACCCTGAGGATCCCTTCTTTGTCCAGGAAGGGGCTTAACTTCTGTAGCTTACTTTCTTTGGTCTTGACAATTTCCTGCTTTTGCTTGAGTCTTTTGATCTCAGCTGGGAATGCTTCCTTTTGAACTAGCTTAATGATGGCAAGCTCTGCTTCTTTCCTTTCCTCGATGCTTGTACTTTCATTGGTGCGTTGCTTCAGACCTTTGTGTTCTTTGGCCATTCGCTGTAATCTTGTAACTGCCTTTACAGCTCTTGTCCAGTCTGAAAACTTCTTCAGGTGGTCTAATAAAGATCTGTCTTCCTTTGTCTCAGTATTGCACACAAGAGCCTTACGAAGTTCGGGATCATCTTCGTTGACTTCTCCCACCTTGCATTCTCTCTGCAGTGAACCTCTTTGCCAAAGAAACTTCGGGCCGGTATACCAGTTTGAGAACTTTAGTTGGTCTGCAGTCAAACCTCGAGAGGCATGATCTGCAGGGTTGTCCTCAGAAGCAACATAGGACCACTGTTAAGGCTTTGTACTTATCTTGTTGTTAGGTAGCTCTGGTCGTTCCCTTTTGAATGGTAAGGGCATCTCGTAGTGACCGTTCTCCTTTTGTGTGATGTTCTCTTTCAGCTTTGACAGGAACTTCAGAATGTCTTGTGAGATGGGATTATCTTCCTTGGCTCTTTCTGAGAAGTCAGACTCGAGGACCTTAATGATTTCTGAAGTGGTCACTTCTTTCACCTTGAATCGGTTTATATTGTGTACTTCCGTTCGGAGGTTGATAGAAGACTCAACATCTGGTGTCACTTGTCTCACTTCTATACAATGACTCGTTCCCATGGCATCTCCATAGTCTACACAGGGACTTCCACACTCCACGATGCTCCATCCAAGGTCTGTGCGTTGTGCGTAGGGCTGGTTTGTTTTCCCAGATACAACTTCTCTTGGTAGAAGTGCTTGTGAGCAGTTGTACCCGATGAGCAGGCCTACTTCACATTCCAGTAGAGGTGAGATCTTTTCCTGAAGGTGCTCCAGGTGGGACCAAGCTTTTGCCTTTTCGTTTGTAGGTATGTGAGCTCTGTTGGCTGGAATGAACTCCCTTGTATAGGCTGGTGGTAGGGAGATCTTCTTTCGTGAGTAGAAGCCACGGACTTGTAGATTGTTCACTCTTTGGGAGTTTACTGTTGAGGTTGCAGTCATCGTAGTGAGCTTGAGCTTAATTTGGTCTTTGTTGGCTTTCAGCTTGTCAGCTACTTCACTTAGAATAAAGGTTGAGTCGCTTTGAGAGTCCAGTAGCACATACACAAGGACTTCTTCTTCTGGGCAGGTTGTAGATGAGAGCCAGACAGGAAGTATTGCAGAGGTATGTGTGCCAGCCTCACCAGAGATCGTTCTGTATGCAGTAGCAGCTGTGCTTGTTTCTTCAGGAGGCAACGATTCAGCTTCCTCTTGGCTTTGACTTTGCCTTTCCTTAGCTTGTGTTGGTTTCTTGTCACCTTTGGCTCTATCCACGTGCAGGCAGGTGGGGTGCTGCTTGTGGCAAACATCACACTCACTTCTACTGCTACATTTCTTTGAGTGGTGGCCAGGCTTGAGACAACCAAAGCACAGCTTGTTTTCTTTAACAAAGGTTGTTCGCTCTTGAACTTCCTCCTTCATGAAGTTTCTGCATTTGAGCAAGGTGTGTCCATGCTTCTTGCAGAAGACACATGTCATGACCTCCTTTTCGTCTGAGCTTGTAGCCAGTACCTTTGCTCCCATGGTCCTGTTCCTGTTGC